AGCGCGTGCACGAACAGCAATCGCCAAGAAAGCCGGGTGAAGGCGAAGAGAACGAGTTACTCGCGGGAGCAAACTCGAGTCAAGTTGGCGATTGAAGAATAAGCAATGGAGTCGACACTCTCGGAGTTAGCAGACTGGGACGACCAACAGATTGAAGAAGGGAAGAGGTTGGTGAGGAATGAAAAGGCAGCTGATTGGCAGCCATGGCTGCCTGCCTGCTGTTGAGTTGGGCCACCACAGATGGTGGATTAGAGGATCCACCAGATGCCACGTCGGACAGATGCCACGGGACAAGGAGGGCTCTACGAGCATCACGGTCAACTACAGACCACGACGGCTCTCGAGGACCGATGAGGAGGAGGCTATCCGCTCTCGGATTTTGCCGCGTGGCAGGCGGTTCGATTCGGGGGAAATATCAGCCACAAGTGCTCGCTGAAACATTCCATCGGGCCTTGATTCGGGACAAGCTTCGGGAGCCACTAGATGGTCCATTTTGAATCTGGACGGACTACCAAGGCAGAGCTGGCTAGCTGGCCACATCAAAACCACGTCAGCGGCTCCTGCGTGGATAACGAAAAAGAGTTCCTCAGGAGGTTGCTGCCCGAAAAGCTAAAATTTCAACTTTGTGTGCCAGTTCGACTTTCTGTCCCCCCAAAAAGCAGTCGCTAGGCAAACGGCCGTTCGTGAATCTATACCTATTCCGTCAGCTCTTTACCCGACGTGGAAACTGCCAGCATGGCCAAACCATTCAGAAAACGCTATTTTCGAGGCTCGCCACGCTGGCAATTTGATCTATCACCCGTCTGTCGTCAATCCCAGACCAGCAATTTCGTTCGGGGGCACGTGTGGTGGATACAGAGACGAACCTTGCCCCATAACTCGTCCTCACCGGAGCCGCGCTATTCCCTGGGGCTCCCACTCATCCCCGCGAGACTCGTCGGCGCGCATGCCATGCCCTGCTGGTTTCCGCCTTTCCCCCATGCATCTCCCACTACCCTTCCCCACCCCACTCAACACCCCTCCTCCCAAAGCCAACTGCCAAAATGCCAGCTGAGAGCTCCACGGTGGTAGCGAGGAAAAGCGAAGTGGATAGGCATGGCAATCCCAAAGCGAGAGACAGCTCAAATTGAGGCGAGCTGAGCATTATTTCGAAAATTGTCTTCTGCTCGCTCGTCTCCCTTTTCTGCTCTCCGTTGCTGACAAGTTAGCTCGTTCCTACATCACTTCTTCGTCAGCTTCGTCAGCAAAGAGCAGCCATGGCCGCCGTCGCTCAGAAGGTACTTGTTCTCGTCAGATTAGGCCTGATTGACGTTACCGTTTAGGATTAAGCTCCTATTGTGAGTCACAGATCGGTCAGCATGCCGACGGCCAGAAAACTTGAAGAATCACAGTGATGGCATAAGGCATTTTAACTGCCATAATAATCCCCGCAATGCCGCCTTTCTCCGTCCGTTTTCAATCTCTAACAATGCTATTCCATCTGCACATACGTCTCCGTTTCCCTCTCTTATCTGCAGTCCGCCTTCCTGGCAGCACCTGCTCTCTCCTCCATGGAGCAGGCACGCTCAGTGTCCATGTCGGTCTCGCTCCCAGCGATCCAGGCGAAGCAGCAGCGTCGGTCACTCGTCGCTGTCGCGGCCTTGACCGCTCGCGACTTGCAGAGCAAGTCACTGGAGCAGCTGCGCGCCATGGCCCGTATGAAAGGCATCACCGGCAACAACAAGGCCCAGCTCATCTCTGCCCTCACTGGGTGAGTGCTACTGCTTATCCGCGAGTGATCCCCGTCCAGTAGCTTCTGGATTCTACCATCAGTGCTTCATGCTTCCGTCCGCTTGTTAACCAGTTGTCGGCTCTTCGCAACGTAGTGTGTCCTTCCCTGGTTATTCGCAACTTTAAGCGCGCTCATAACTAAATGTCCTGAATCTTGTCTCTATTCCTGCGACTCTTGTAATATACCTTGCAGTGGTGCCGCCGCATCCAAGCCCTCGTCGTACGCCAGCATTGCAGCTGTCTCTGGCGACGAGGCGCTCCTGCAGAGCAAGACTCTGGGTGAGCTCCGCGCGCTCGCCTCGGCCAAGGGTCTCCGCGGCGACACCAAGGCGGAGATCATCAAGCTGCTCCTGTAAGCATCGCCCCCCGGTCCGTCGTCATTCTTGCACCATTTTTTTTTCCTCCTGACTTCTCATCCTTTTGCCAAAATATTCTTTCCGGAGACTATCTTTTCAGTTATGTGAGCCATTGTTACTTATTTTACTTGCTAACGACCCTTGTTATTCCCAACCGCAGGAGCGTCGGCGGTGTCACCCCCGCCCCCGCAGCTCCCGCCATGTCCTTCTCCGCGGAGGCGCTCTCCCCCGTGGTCCCCACGACCCAGTCCGTCTCCGACTACCAGCGCCGCCTCCAGACCAAGCCCATGTCCAAGCTGCGCGCCGTTGCGCGCATGCGCGGAGTATCGGGGACCACCCGCGCGGAGCTGGTTGCGGGGCTTCTCGCGTTCCACGGCGGTGCTAGCGCTGTTGGCGCTTCCCCCTCCGCGGTGCAGGGTTTCGCGCAGGACAAGCCCGAGATTGTCGGCCAGCTAGAGAGCCTCGCGTTGAGCGAGCTGCGCGCGCTCGCTAAGGCGCGGGGAGTGCGCGGAGACACCCGCAAGGAGCTCATCAAGCTCCTGACGTAAGTGCACTTTCGTATAATCCCTTAATCCAAACACGAACTTAAGGCTTGTAGCACAAAGCCTTCAGACGGTGAACAATGGGCTTTTTCCTGACCTCGTTTCCCCTTATCTATTGCAGTGGCTCCGCCGCCCCCAAGGCTGCTGCCGCCGCTTCCTACACCAACGGCAGCGCCGTGGCCTCGTCCTCGTACTCGTCCTCCACCCCGTCCTACTCCGCTCCCGTGTCATCCTCCGCGCCGTCCCTCCCCAGCGCGAGTGTCCTCGCCACGAAGTCGCTCGCGCAGCTGCGCGCCATTGCCGCCCAAAGGGGTATCCGCGGTAACACCAAGCAGGAGCTGGTGAAGGCTCTGACCTCGTAAAAAGGGAATATTTGGGGAAGCTTATGTTATTTGTATGCATTTAGGCCACCACGAATTGTCTCCTTTTTTTTTGGGCTCTAGAGCCTTCAACCATTAAATATTAAAGCTTTCACTTGCTGTTCACAATATGAATGGGGAGAGAGGAGGTGGAGGTTGATCTGATACCCTATGGTTAAGGGAAGGAGGGGGAGTGGGCACTAGCTCGCATAGTGACGTGATGTTCCAGAACGTTCACTTGAGCCACGCTACTGCTAGCTGGCAGGCACCAAATCTGATACCGTACTCTCACTCCTGCCCTGTGCCATAGGCATCACGAGAATCACTTGCCATTGTCACTGAACCCACCGGTACCATGAGGGCAATATTCATGGTTTGAATCACAATTGCAATGTGGGGAAAGGCTACTGTTTATCGTCTGAGCTTAGTGTTGTGTTGTGGCCTCCAATGCAGAACAATTCAGTTGGATGAAAAGTCCCAGGTGGATGCTTGCTTGCATCCGATGTGATGTACAACATCACATCAGATTCTGCCTGACAACTGAAGATTGCTACAGCCGTAAGTCACACTTTCCATTCAATGATGTCAACATGCTTTTCGCACACCCCAACACGTCTGACCCCAAAGACAAATGCAAACTGAAGCTTTAATGCCACTCGGCTGCATCCACATATATACAGGACAGGCTTTCATGCTGCACTTCATGTCTCATACTGCACATCATGTTTGCACCTGGAAGCACAGACGGCAATGCAAAACAGGCATCAACAACCATCAGGAGCTCCCACGGAGCATAACAAGAAGCAAAGCATGCAACAACGATCGATCAGTCACACAAGTCACAACGACAACCCTGAACTTCAATGGAGAGATGAGAGTGGCTCGTCGTACCTGGAAGAGTCCTCCTCCCTTCTTGAGCAGAAAGCCCGCTTCATTGAGGCTGTCAATCAGCTCATCAATAACCAACAAACTCAGAAAGCTGACTAATGAGCCGACTCAAGAGTGATGAGGGTGACTCGTACCTGGAAGAGCCCTCCACCCTTCTTCAGCAGGAAGCCCGCTTCATTCAGGCTGTCAATCAGTGCATCGAGATCCGGCACTCTCAGCAGGGCTGACTATTCAAAAAAATCCAGTCTGATGTTCTGGGGGCTCTGAAAATTTTTAGTCTGAGGCATATTTCCCAGAGAATGGCCACTCTGATTTTTCAGGTTCCGCAAAAACACAAGTCTGAAGTTCTCAGAACACACTACAACCACTGCAGTACAGTACTGCCACAAATGTAGCACGTGGGGCGCAACGCTAACCAGTTTCCCTCGCTGACACCACGTAGCTGCAGTGATGGTCCCGCGTGAGTGGAAGAGTGAGCCAAGTTGGCAGATTTCCAAGGGAAAAGGGTGGCAAAAGTTGCCAAGGACAGATTCTGCGCGTGACAGCGCCATGAAGTGTGTTCGTACACTGGCAACATATGACGTAGTGGAATGTACGTAGAAATCACAGATCCGCATTTCAGGATCCGTACTCCCTGTAGTATGAAGACCCATTATCGGCTAAGTCAGTACTCTGAAAATCTCAGGATCCAAAACCAAGTCTGAGGCACTCATGTTTGAAAATCTTACAAGTCTGAAAAATCAGGATCCGTAGGAAAATACCCTGAGATTTCAGACAATCAGACTATTTTAGTCTGATAAAGTCAGCCCTGACTCTCAGACACATGTCGTCAGCTAATTGGGCCAGCTCCTGACAAGCACAGGGGATGTGGAAGTTGGGCAATGGGGGTATGGAAGGAGAGCATGAGGCTCAGTATGAGAGCATCGAGATCCGGCACTGAGACACATGTCGTCCACTAGTAATTGGGCCAGCTACTGACGAGCACCGGGAGAGATGGGGCAGTATGAAAAAGAAGGGAAGGCATGGCATGAGGGCAAAGTACGGAACTGCTTTGACTCCTATGATTGCTCGAGTGACCTTTGAGTCTACTCAGACATTTTTGGGTCAATACGGACCTTTCTGGAAAAGCATGTTTTGATGGCCTGCTTAGCGGTGCGCTGCAGGGTGGCCAGGAACCGCTTTGACTCCTTTGACTTGCTGGAGCTGCCGCCCCGCCCCGCATCTATGTTGCCCGCCTCGTCTGAAAGCTTATCCAGCAGACACTCCCCCATCAGCTCCACTGCCTCTTGGGCATCAGCTTCGGTAACCTCCTCCCGTAGCTCCACGCGGGCCCGAGCCTCGGCGAGCCGGACCAGGCTCTCCAGCTGGCGTGCTGTGATTGGAGGGCCGTCCATGGCTCGGCTGTGCTCTCGCAACTGCAGGTAGAAAGCCTTGATCACTGCACGCGCCTCCTCTGACAGCCTGTGGAGCGGGGAACAAAAAGGGTGGGACTGCAGTGAGTGAAACAAATGATACAGGGTGGGAATGGAGGGTTGTCCATGGCTCGGCTGTGCTCTCTCAGCCGCAAGTAGAACGCTTTGATCACTGCCCGCACCTCCTCTGACAGCCTGTAGCAGGCGGCGAAAAGAGACGACTTAAGAGGCTATTGGAGGGCACACATTGCTGACGAGGAAGCTGTGCTCCTTCAGCCGCAGGTAGAACGCCTTGATCACTGCACGTGCCTCCTCTGACAGCCTGTAGTCAAAACGAACGGTGATTTCTATAGCAATGAGATTACAGCGGGTGGCTGTGCTCCCTCAGCCGCAGGTAGAACGCCTTGATCACTGCACGCGCCTCCTCTGACAGCCTGTAATGGGTGGCAAACAGGGTGACAGTGGGATTGCAGGGGAAGACAACAAGGGTTGGATCGCGGCTGTGTTCTCTCAGTCGCAGGTAGAACGCCTTGATCACTGCCCGCGCCTCCCCTGAGAGCCTGTAGAGCAAGGGAGAACAAGGGTGGGATTGCAGTGAGCGAAACAAATGATACAGGGTGGACTGTAGAGCCGTCCATGGCACGGCAGTGCTCTCTTAGCCGCAGGTAGAGCGCCTTAATCACTGCTCGTGCTTCCTCTGAGAGCATGTGAAGGGAGCGGCAAAAAGGGCGGGATTGAAGAGCTGCCCATGGCTCGGCTGTGCTCCCTCAGCCGCAGGTAGAACGCCTTGATCACTGCCCGCGCCTCCGTAGGTGGACAGGTGAGAGAGGGAGAAGTCTGAGGTACTATGGTGGGATGCACCTGGGGGAACGAAGTGCGAGCATAAGCAATGTACTGGCGCAGGCGAGCAGGAGGGAGGGGGAAAGGGGAGAAGTATCGAGCAGCAGAGGAACGCGGGTGGAAACGTTGGGAGAGAGGGAGGTGCAGGTGTGAGTGAGACGCTTCAAGACACAACAGGGGGCAGACACCGCTAGTGAGAACACAACGCACCTGGGGTGCGCGTGTGTGCGAGGTACTGGCGCAGGCGAGCAGGGGAAAAGGAGGAGAATTCTCAGCATGTAATAGGTGGGTGGACGCACCTGGGGTGCACATGCGTGCGAGCATAGGCAATGTACTGGCGCAGGCGAGCAGGGGGGAGGGGAGAGAAAGTGCGCGCAGCAGAGGAGTGCATGCGAAGAAGTGGGACTGAGACGCTTCAAGGCTCAATAGGGTCACACACCACTAACGAGAATGCAACGCACCTGGGGTGCACATGCATGCGAGCATAGGCAATGTACTGGCGCAGGCGAGCAGGGGAGAGGGGGGAGAAGTTGCGCGCAGCAGAGGAGTGCAGGCGCAGGCGGTGGGAGAGAGGAAGGTCGAGGTGCGATGCATGGCCGTCCGTGGCTGATGGGGCCGTGAGGAAGAGATGAGCTGGTGGGGTGGGATGCGGTTTGACGGGGTGGGATGCGGGGGTGTGTCAATAAAGATGGGAGGGAGAAAGAGAGGTCGAGGTGGGATGCATGCATGGCCGTTTTTGCCTGATGGGGCTGTCAGGAAGAGATGGGATGGTGGGGTGCGATGCGGTGAAGGTGGGGGTGTGAGAGTTGGGGGGGAGTATTGAAATGTGAAGATGAGATGGTGAGATGGGATGGGATGAGAGAGGGGGGGTTGTTGACTGAGAGGGGAAGTTCGAGATGTGAGTGCTATTACTTGCTGAAGGGGTGATCAAGGGAGATATAGTCTGAATGGAGAGTGGACGAGACAAAAATGGTACGAGAGGAGGAGATGTGAGAATAACGAGGAATGAATGATGAACTAGGAAACAGGTGGGGTACAAGTAGACAACACAAAAGTGTTGTACCCTCTAAGGACTACCCCACTACAGCCTAAACAGACTATAGCATATATAAGTATGACACACCCCCATAGGCAAAGTGGGGGAGAACAAGGGGTCACAAGACCAGTCGAGAAAAGCAAAGCAAGCTCAGGGTGGATCACAAAGTCACCACGCAGTCTGAGCACAAGCAAAGGGCCACAAGGCCAGTTCACATGCAGAGTAATATAAAGGAAAGCAAACAATACAGTGAACACAACCTAGCACGTATAAGCATGCAGGTATATGTATAAAGAGTACAGTACAGGCAGAGTCAAGAAGAAAGCAAGTGAGACACAGTAGGTACAAGGCCTAACACAGTACAGAAGCGCTAATGATCACAAGGCTGAAGTGCCTTGGTGAAAACATCAGCAGTGTTGGCCTGAGAGGCCACGTACGCAAGACGAAGCTGGCCACGCTGCTGTAACTCTCGAGCAAGGAAATAGCGCAGAGCAATGTGCTTCGTTCTGTGCTCCAGTCTGTGCTCCTGACACAAGGCCAGCATGGCCTTGTTGTCGACGTACAAAACTGGAGGAGAACGAGGCGCCTCTCCCAAGTCGGTCAGCAGGTAAGTAAGCCAGCGTAGCTCCTGTGCAGCCATGGCCCCAGCGTAGATCTCAGCCTCACAACTGGAGCTGAAAACAGAAGAAGAGCGGGTAGACCACCAAGAGACAGAACCGGAGCCAAGACTGAAGATGTAGCCCTGTGACGACCGCTGCGTAGCCAAGTCGTCAACCCAGGAGGCGTCAGCGTGACCAGTGAGAACAACTCGAGCCCGTCCTCCAAGCACTAGCCCCATGCCCAATGTACTGCACAAGTATCGCAACACCCTCTTCGCAGCATCCCAGTGCACCTTTCGGTGCCTGCCGGGAGCCATGTAGCGAGCCAGAAGGCTGAGAGGGTATGCGAGGTCAGGTCGTGTGCATGTCATCAGGTACATGAGGCAGCCCACAAGCTCTGGATACGGGCCACTCGGCTCTACGGACTCGTCCGAAGGTGGAGCTGAGAGCGAGTGACCGGTAGGCAGAGGAGTGGACTGTGGCGAGGAGTACGTGAAGCCGAAGCGCTGAAGGACCTGCTGCACCATGTGTGAATGAGTCAAGGTAATGGTGCGCTGTGCTCTGTCCCGGGTGATCCGCAAGCCAAGATAGCTTGTCAGTTCACCCAGGTCTGTGCACGTGTGTCTCTTCTGCAGCTCCGACTTCACAAGGGCCAGTGCCTCAGTGTCAGCAGTAGCAAAGACGAGGTCGTCTACGTATACGAGAACGTAGAACGGCGGCAGAGTAGTGTCAGTGCGTAGAAACAGAGAGGGGTCAGCGGTGGAAGGAGCAAAACCAAGAGAAGCAAGAGTCGTCCTGAGTGTGTCGTGCCACTCACGGGGTGCTTGGCGGAGACCGTAGACTGGCCGCCGGAGGCTCCACTGGGTACCAGCAGGAAACGACCCAGTGAAGCCAGGTGGGCGGCGCAGCCAGATCTCCTCGTGCAGGCTGCCCTGCAGGAAGGCTGTGCTGAAGTCAAGCGAGTGGAGCTCGTAGTCACGCTGAGCAGCAACGTGCAGCAGTATCCGAAGAGTGGTCATCTTCGGGGTAGAGGAGAAGGTCTGAAAGAAGTCAACTCCCTGTCGCTGACTGAAGCCACGTGCAACGTAACGCGCCTTGAAGGCAGGCGGAGAACCCGGCGGCCGCTTCACCCTGAAGATCCACATGCCACTGACGATGTTCGCCCCAGGTGGGGGAACCTTGTCTACGTAGGTGCCTGTGGACTTCCAGGAAGCCATCTCTGCGTCCATGGCTGCCTGCCACTGAGAGGAGTAGGGACCCTCTATCGCCTCTGCGTAAGAGCGCGGGGTCGGGATGTCTAGTGCATCCGGGTCTTCCTCAGGGGTCAGCAGCATGGACATGAGATGAGGTACAGAAGCAGCAAAGCACTCAAACTCCTCCTGTCTGTCCTCAAGAACGTCCGTGCCAAGAGCACACTCACCCCCGACGGACGGAGGACAGAAAGACACAGACGCAGACTCAGCAACAAGACTAGTGGCGTAGTCTAGGCGACAGGCGGCAGCAAAGTCAACAAGCTCAGTAACAAGAGCAGACGCAGCAGAGGACTCAAACAGAGGGTCAGTGACAGCAGTGGCCAGAAAGCGCGTGACAGTAGGACTAGCAGCACGAATGGAGTCAGACTCAGGGTCCGGACCGTTAGGAAGAGAGGACGCAGGAGGAGACGAAAGAGGGACACGCTGTGGAGCAGTAGAAGGACGCAGAGTCATAGAGTGGGTGCCAGGGACAGGAGGAGGACGCGGACGCGAAACACGACTAGCGCGAACAGAACGGACAGGCGACGTAGAACGAGACACAGGCAAAACAGGACGCGACTCAGGCTCACGACGCTCCGTAAGACCTCTAGTCGGTCCAGAGTAAGGAGAAGGACCAGGCAGCGGAGAGGCCGGCTGTAACTGCGACTGAGACGGGACAGGCAGTGGACTCAGGGAAGGAGGTGGAGGACCAGGAGAAGGCGGGGAGCCAAGAACCTGCTGAAGAAGCGGAACGTAGTACGGCCGCGGCCGCACAGCGCCTCCAGAAACAGCAGAGACCGAACCGGCACCCTCAGCCCTAGGGTCTCCAGTCCCAGCAGCACCAGCAGCACCTCCAGCAGTACCAGCACCAGCAGCACCTCCAGAAGCTCCAGCAGCACCTCCAGCAGCACCAGCACCAGCAGCACCTCCAGAAGCTCCAGCAGCACCTCCAGCACCAGCAGCACCTCCAATAGCACCTCCAATAGCACCTCCAGCACCAGCAGCACCTCCAGCAGCACCAGCACCAGCAGCACCAGCACCAGCAGCACCTCCAGAAGCCCCAGCAGCACCCCCAGCACCAGCAACACCTCCAGCAGCACCAGCGCCAGCAGCACCTCCAGAAACTCCAGCAGTACCTCCAACTCCAGCGGCACCACCAGAAGCACCAGCAGCACCTCCAGAAGCTCCAGCAGCACCTCCAGAAGCCCCAGCAGGACCTCCAGGAGCTCTAGTAGCACCCCGACAGCGCCGAGAGTACCACTCACGAAGCTGCTGTGGAGAGAGAGGTTCCCGCCGCGGCGGGACACCGAGAGCACCTCCAGACGCAGCACGCGCAGGCTCAGCACCTCCACACACAGCACCCTCAGGCTCCACACGCCCAGGCTCAGCACCCCCAGGCTCAGCACGCCCAGACTCAGCACCCCCAGACTCAGCACCCCCAGTCCCCGCACCCGCAGGCTCAGCACCTCTAGCAGCACCTGAGTCGACAGCTACCTCGACCGGCTCGGCAGGGTCTACCTGGGACACACCTGAGGGGGCAGGACCCTGGAGGGGGAGGGGGTCTATCGGGGGAGTACCTGGTGCGAAGAAGAGCGGCAGGGGGGGGGGAGAGGAAGTGCGGTAGGGAAAAAGACGGTAGTACGACACCGACTCGTCAAACGTGACGTCCTGAGAGGACAGTACACGACGCGAGGTGGGGTGGTAGAACTGCCACCCGGGTGCGTCAGGAGGGAAGCCAAGGAAGACACAGGGAACGGCACGGGAGGACAGCTTGTCCGCTGTAGTATCACGGACAAAAGCTCGAGATCCCCAGACACGGAACGCGGACGCATCGCCAACCTTCCCCGTCCACCGCAGAGTAGGTGTGGTCTCCGGCAAGGAGACACGAGGCTGAAGGTTGATCTGATGCGCAGTGTACTGAACCGCGAACGGCCACAGAAAATGGGGAGCAGCCGCATGGATCAAGGACGTACGAGCGACGTCCATGACCATGCCAATGCGGCGCTCAGCAATCCCATTTTGCTGCGGGGAGGCCGGAAGCGTGAACGTCTGGCGAATGCCCTCAGAACGACAGAAGGCTCTCAGGAGGTCGGAGGAAAACTCCCCGCCTCTGTCTGAGTGCAGACGCAGAACAGGAAGGTCTGAGCCGAAACTCTCACTAAGCTGGCGACGAGCACCGCGGATCCAGTCGATCAACACCTCAGGGACCTCACCCTTGCTGCGCAAGGGGAAGACTGTGGTGTAACGCGAGTAGTCGCCAACCACCAGCAGGAAGTAACGCTCGTGACCCTGTCCACGGACGCGGGCTGGGCCCCACACGTCCATGTAAAGAGTCTGCAGAGGAGCCTCTGTCGGAGGAAACGAGGAGGAGTGAGGAGCGGCGCGCTGCCGGCCCTCAACACAAGGAACACAGGTGGGGGCAGGCCCCGGAGGAAGAGGAGGGAGGGACCTGGGGAGTCCAGAGACAAGAGCACGGGAGGCCATACCTCGAAGACGAGGTAGGGAGGGGTGACCAAGGCGGTGGTGCCAAAGGAGAGTCTCGTGCGCCAGAGGACGACACGAGCAGGGGGCAGACGCAGGACTAGACCTGGACGCAGCTACCTGACCAGACGCAGGGACGGGAGGAGGCGCAGTAGTCAGTGTGTACAGACTCGACCCTGGCCGACGGGTGAACGTGGCCAGGTGGCGGCCCGTCCGAGAGCAAGTGCAGTGGGTCACACGCTGACCTCCAGGGGTGAACTGGTCAACCCACGCGTCCTGGAGGTCAGCTCCACTCACCAAGTTCGTAGAGAACGAGGGGAGGTGGAGTCCCGACAGCAAGCCCGACGGGGCCGCAGGACACGGTAGAACCGTGGAGGAGTGTGCAAGGACTGGGCCCCCTGAGGGGTCAGCAAGGGAGACCGCAACAGGCCGACTGAGCGGCGTGAGCGTGGTGCTGTCTCTAAAGAAAGAGCGCGAAGCACCAGAGTCAAGTGTGAAAGTGTGCAAGGACTCAGTAGGTGCAGTACCAGAGAGAGTAGACGCACCAGCACCTGGAGCAGCAGACGCACCAGCACCTGGAGCAGAAGACGCACTAGCACCTAGAGCAGCAGCCGCACTAGCACCTAGAGCAGCAGCCGCAGTGCCCGGGTCGGGCGGGACACTCAGGTAACAGTCACCCTCAGTAATATCAGCAAGAGCATACATGGCAGCAAGGATATCATCAAAATCTAGATCAAAGATAGGCACATTCTGCAGAAGCAGATCATGCCAGCGAGGGAGCTCAACGCCGTCAGGAAACTGGGTACGCCAATCGTCAGTCAAGCAACCGAAGCAGCGCTGCGTGGTGTGTGGGAGCCCACACACCTCCCCACTACGAGTGTCGGTGCGAAGAACGTAAGTGCAGGGACCGGCACTCCCAGACCGCCCACGCCCCGCGTACCACTCACGAAGCTGCTGAACCGACGGGGTCTCACGGGTGCGTAGCTGCTGCTGGCGCTGGCTGCCACCAAAGCCTCCACGCTGCGCGGCTGCACCTCGACCAGCACCACCGCCGCCTCCGCCTCCATCACCGCTGCCGCTGCCTCCACCACCTCCGCCACCGACGCCACGACCTCCACCGCCGCCACTGACGCCCCCACTCCCGGTACCACCCCCACCTCCACCGCCACCTGCTCCGCCTCCTCCACCGCCTCCGCCGCCGCCCCCGCCACCCCCTCCACCACCCCTGTGCCCCTTGCCCTTGCTGTTGCGGCGTCTCCCACTAGGGGCAGACGCAGCTCCGACCTCCTCAGTGCCAACGAGGTCGACAGCAGCAGCAGAAGCAACAGAGGGGAGAAGGGGGACAGGGGAACACCCCTCAAAGAAGGGGGTGCGACGGTCGCCGCGAGAAGCACCTACAGCTAAGTTACTCTTCTCAGCTGCAGCAAGGCGCTCCTCTAGCAGGTCGACAGTCAGCTCGGTGGGGCAAAGGGAGAGAAAGTGGTCCCTGAATGAAGAGAGAGAGTCAGGGAGGCGGGTGACTAGGTAGTAAAGGGTGATGTACATGGGGGGGGGTTCTTGGCACAGAACTCAGTGGGAAGGGCAGCGCGGTAGCGGGCGTCACTAGTGCGAAGGTGAGCAACTAGGTCAGCGACTGTAGTAAAGGCGGCAAGGTCAGGGAAAAGGTACGGCAGCATGAGGCGACTGAGGGCAGCAGTGGCAGGGAAGGAGAAGCGTGCAACTACAGCGTCGTACAAAGACTGAGCAGTCTTGTACTGACCAAAGTGTGCGCGCTGAGCAGGCGGCAGGTGACTGCGAACAGCAAGACGAGCAACAGCGTCACGAGTGGTCCATTGCGAGCGAACAGTACTGTCAGCAGTGACAGGAGGAGCAGTGGAAACACCGGACGTGTGATCGAAAAGGGATACCCCATCCCTAGAATCACACTGAAGAAAGAGCTGTAGGTCATCAACCCATACGTCAAAGTCAACTACACGTCCCTCAGAGTCAAAGGTGAGAACTGTAGGACTAGCCATAGCAGCAGTGGAAGCAGTAGGAAGAGGAGCAGCAGTAGCAGTAATAGCAGTAGTGCAGAAGTAGCAGCAGTAGTGGCAATAGCAGCAGTGCTGCTCGGCAGGGCAGTGCGGCTCGGTGGGGGCGGCGCGGCTCGGCTGAGCGGCGCGGCTCGGCTGGGCGGCGCGGCTCGCCTGGGCGGCGCGGCTCGCCTGGGCGGCGCGGCTCGGCTACCGGCGGCGCGGCTCGGCTCCCAGCGGCGCAGCGCAGCAGGGAGGGGGGAGGGGGAGCGCGAGTGCTTACCAGGGGAGGTTGCAGGGAGGGCCGCTGTTTGGGCGGCAGCAGGGCAGGGCCAGGCCGACGGGTGGTGGGTCAGCGAAGGGCGGCAGGTCAGCGACTGGCGGCTGGTCAGGGACGGGCGGCAGGTCGGCGACGGGCAGCTGGTCAGGGACGGGCGGCTGGTCAGGGACGGGCGGCGGGTCGGCGACGGGCGGCTGGTCAGGGACGGGCGGCAGGTCGGCGACGGGCTGCTGGTCAGCAACTGGCGGCGGTCCAGCGGCGGGCGACGGCCGGCAAAGGGCGGCAACGGGCCGGCAAAGGGCGGCAACGGGCCGGCGACGGGCGGCAGTGGGCCAGCGACGGGCGGCAGCGGGCCTCTTAAGGGACGCGAGGGGGGCCGCCACGGGCCGTGAAGGGGCCGCTACGGGACACGAAGGGGCCGCTACGGGCCGAAAAGGGGCCGTTACGGGCTGCGAAGGGGCCGCTACGGGACTTGAAGGGGCCGTTACGGGCCGCGAAGGGGCCGCTACGGGACGCGAAGGGGCCGTTACGGGCCGCAAAGGGGCTGCTACGGGCCGCAAAGGGGGCCGCTACGGGCCGCGAAGGGGCCGCTACGGGACGTGAAGGGGCCGCTACGGGCCGCGAAGGGCCTCGAAGGGCAGGCGCGACGCGCGCGTCGGGCAGGTAAGGAAAAAAAAAGAATAATCTTAGTGGTGGGCCCTAAAAACAGTTCCACTAGGGAACCTGCTCTATACCATGTGAGAATAACGAGGAATGAATGATGAACTAGGAAACAGGTGGGGTACAAGTAGACAACACAAAAGTGTTGTACCCTCTAAGGACTACCCCACTACAGCCTAAACAGACTATAGCATATATAAGTTTGACAGGAGATAGTGCGGCAGGCAGTGTAGCAGAAAGCTGCTTTTGAATAGCTTGGAGCGAGATGGAACGCCTACATGCATCTGCGGTGTATTTTGAGGCGCCTCAAAATACACCAGAATGGTACGAGAGGAGAGACAGTGTGGCAGGCAGCTGCTTTTGAATGGCTTGGAGCGAGATGGAATGCCTGCATGCATCTACGGGACACCCAGGCAACACAGGTGCCCCACATACATGCATGTAGTGTGGGAGGCAGTGTGGCAGGCTGTGTGGGGACGACTTACAGCTGCGTTTGGATGCCTTGGAGCGAGATGGCATGCCTTGGAGCGAGATGGCATGCCTTGGAGCGAGATGGCATGCCCTGGAGCGAGATGGCATGCCTTGGAGCGAGATGGCATGCCTTGGAGCGAGATGGCATGCCTTGGAGCGAGATGGCATGCCTTGGAGCGAGATGGCATGCCTTGGAGCGAGATGGCATGCCTTGGAGCGAGATGGCATGCCTTGGAGCGAGATGGCATGCCTGCATGCATCTGTGTCTAACGAGGTGACGTTGAGAGTCAACTCAAAAGGCAGTGCGGGGCTGAGAAGGACTTACAGCTGCGTTTGGACGCCTTGGACTGAGATGGCATGCCCGCATGCATCTGCAGCAAGCAAGCACAGACAACAGGTTGAAGGAAATGAAAGACTGGTGAAGGGAACTCTCGCCTGGAAGCTCTACCACATGGCTCTAGCCCATATAAGCTTACCCCCAACGTTCAATGGCATTAGAATATACACCTCTACCAGATATGAACACCACATACCTCACCAGATACGTAAACCACATGCCACAACCCACCCGCATGCTTCTCCAGCCTCTCACCTGTAGCACGTGCTCCAATAGGCGCTGGTCTGTCTGGCGGTCTGGGCAATCCAGGAGAACGAAGATCAGATCGAATCTAGGCAGCAGGGCGGCAGATAGCTTCAGATTCTTCTCACCTGTAGCACGTGCTCTGACAGACGTTGGTCCGTGTGGTGGTCTGGGCGGTCCAGGAGAATGAAGATCAAATCGAATCTTGACAGCAGGGCGGCAGACAGCTTCAGATTCTCGTTTAGTGTGCGCGCTCGACTGGTGAGCAGGGGAAATGGGAGAGGATGGGAGGGCAAAGGGGGCGAAGGGATGGGCCAGGAGTATGAAGATCAAATCGAGTCGGGACAGCAGGGCGGCAGACACCTTCAGGTTCTCATTCAGCTTGCGCGCTCGACTGGTGTGAGGAGGGGATGGGAGAAGATGGGAGAGGATGGGAGGGGAAGGGAGATGCCAAGATGGAAAAGAGAGGGTGGGGAACGGAAGTAGCGGAACAATGAGAGATCAGGCGGACATGAAGGAAACACGTCAAGAAGAGAAACAGAAAGAGAGGAAGAAGGAGCGATCCGTTACGGGGGGGACGGAGAGAGAACACCATGGCTGGGACCTGTGAAATAACAAAACTTTGGTTGCAGAATACGAGGCTGAAAGCTCGTTCCTCGGTTCTTGGCGCTCACTTGTAATGCCCGCCAACGGGGTTGGCAGCAGCGAGCACTGCAGTGCGCGCCCTGAAGTTTGCCAGAAGACCTGCCTTGGCCACACTCACGCTCTGCTGCTCCATGGCCTCCAATAGCGCCTGGAAGAGGAGGAAGCAGGGGAGCGAGAGGGCGAGGTGGGAAAGAGCAAAGTAGAGATGACGAGGGTGCAGATGTGAGACCTGCCTTGGCCACACCCACGCTCTGCTGCTCCATGGCCTCTAGTAGCGCCTGGGGGAGGGAGCGGGGCGAGGAAGAGGAAAGGAAAGAGCCAAGTAAAGCTGGAGGGGGTGAGGACGTAAACGAAGCATTGGTCACACACACACTCACGCTCTTCTGCTCCATTGCTTCCAACGGTGCTTAGAGAGAGGGCGTGGGGGGTGAGGATGGAAAGAGCAAAGCATAGATGAAGAGGGTATAGCTGTGAGAGGAGCCTTGAGCGCAGTCACGCTCTGCGGCGCCATGGCTCTTAGTGGGGAGAGTTGGGGAAGGAGGGAGAAGCGGAGCTGGGTGGGTGGGAGGGAGTGGAATGAGACATGTGGAAAGCCAAGAGGCGCAGGAGGAAGAGATGCATATCTTTGCACACTCCATCGATTCTCTTATTGCTCACGACATTCCAGCATACCTCCCCATAGCATGCTACCCACAACTCGCCCACCTGTTGCTCGTTGCCCATCTTATCAAACTCGTCAATGCAGCACGTGCCCTGATCCGCCATCACCATTGCTCCTGCAGGGGAAAACAACGGGAGAGGACGACAGGGGAAGAGAGTAAGGTTGCCGTCCAAGCGCCAAGCATCAAGTGACTCACATTTCGTCAATGCAGCAGTGCCCTGGTCTGGTCCGCCATCACCATGGCTCCTGTGATGCGAGAGGGAGAGGAGAGGACGAGGTGAGAGAGGGAGATAATGAAAGAGCTCTTCAGGCATCGGGGAAGAGTGTCGTGATGCAAGTCCGGCTGAACCTCTCTCTCATTGAAGCCTTCCATCCCCTTTCTCCCCTCCACCCTTCTTCCTCTCACTTTACTGTCCCTTCCCTCCCTCCAGCAGGTGAACTACCCTGACCCTTGTTCCTCCTGACATATGTAATGAGCTTGCTCTCCTTCCCTCCGCGTGTATCAGGCGACCCTCGCAAGGGTTCAGTCAGATTGCTCCTGCTTCTCCCTACTGCTAGTTTCCTTTGGCTTAGGAAAACAAGATTCCAGTAAGAAGAGAAACATACAAGCAAAAAGCGAGAAACCTGAGTGCTACCCCCGACTACAACCCCTCCTCCTCCTGCCTAGGTTCCTTCCTCCGCACGCTAGCTCTAGTGCCTAACGCGAGTCAGCCGAGCTGCTCGTGAAGGCTCCAAGGTGCTAGCTGGGTCCCACTGGGCCCACTAGGCATGCACTGCATTCCAGCTGGAATCGAGTTCCTAGCCTGGAATCGCATTCCCAGCTGGAATTGCATTCCCAACCTGGAATCGAATTCCCAGCTGGAATCGAATTCCCTCTTCCGCACCAACCTCCTCGAATTTCCCTGCACTCGGCTCTGTAAAGCGTATGTACAGTTCATACCAAGCACACAAACGAAATTAGATTAGAGTACAAGACCAGAAATGCACAATTACCTGGCTGCTGTGTAATTCACACCTTAGCCATCGGCTAGGTGTTAATAACGCGACAAGAGTCACATTCATCAATGCAGCATGTGCCCAACGGGAAATGCAACAGCAAGGACAGAGGGGAAAGAAAGTAGAGTTGAGAAAAAATATCAGCCCACGCCGCCAGGCCGCCAGGCCACCAGGTTGCCAGGCTGCCCCTAAACCCTTTAACATTTTACGATGCACTACACCCGACAAAGCAAAACCACTGCGCCCATTCCCCCTTCCGCGCCCTTCCTAACTACCACCAACCAACCTGCTTCAAAGGCATTCTCTGCGCCAGGCCCATCCTTCGCCACTGCCACTGTGAGCCCCACAGAGGAGGCGCCAGAGCCACACACGTACACCCCACATGAATTGTGACATGTGCACAAACCCCTTCCCACCCCATCTCCTACTCCTCCCCACCACCAACCTGCTTCGAATGCGTACTCCCCGCCAGGCCCATCCTTCGTCACTGCCACCGTGAGCCCCACAGAGGAGGCGCCAGAGCCACACACGTACACCCCGCGAGGTGCCACCGTTGCTGCTGCCTTGAGCAGCTGGCTCTTGCCCATGCCTGGGTCGCCTGGTTGGATGGTTAGAGTGAGTGAGAGGGGATGTAAGGGAAGTTGATACCTCTGAGTGCAGTCGCCCTTTGCAGTGACACACTTCCCATACCTGTGTTGGCAAGAAATAGGATGTCGGGAAGGTGGAGAAAGTTGGAAGTGCTTTGATTCAAGAAAACGTCACTCACGTAGAAGCAGCTAAAGGCAACAAATTCCGCGTGTAGTGAGTCGATTTTTGAGTCGACTCACTACACGCAAATTCCACACCCGCTGCCTGCAGTATACACCCACTCGCAGAGATAGTTTTCAGTGGCATAGACAAGCGAGCACCTGTCCATTACCATCACACACCATCGTACCCGCTTACCTACTAGCAGCGCGTGCACATCGCCCCTGACTGGCACGCGGTTGGCGTCCCCCTCGTGCTTGCGCACCCCACCAAAGAGCGACAGAATGATGCCCGCTACAGAAGATAGGGAGAAGAGAGATAGGGATGGCAAGGAAAGGTTGCATGGAAAGAAATCGAAAGGAGGATTCGCCTGTTGGTGCTTCAGGGGTTGGCAGAGATGGAAGGGGGAAGGGAGGAGAGATAGAGGGAGGGAGGGGAGCGAGGGATGTTGGGCAGGCATGAGTAGATGACAAGGGAAGATGGAAACAGGGAAGATGGAAACAGGGAAGAAACGGGACGGCCCTACACGTGCACATGGCCGTAGATAGAAGGGCAGAAGGAGTGGTTGAAACAGAGAAAAACACTGTAGGTGGTTCAAAAAGAGTCACCTTTAACAAGCACGTGGCCGTAAATGGAGGGACAGAAGGAGTGCACGATGTGCTGAAACAGGTCGCCCTCCCCCTCATGCTCCTCCCCCATCTCCAACATGCCCCTCATGTCCTCCTCCCCCAGCTTCAACAGATACATACTTCAACATGCCTTTTGAGTAGACTCCACAGTCGCCCAGAGACTCAGCTCAGCTCACCTTTAACGAGCACATGGCCATAGATGGAGGGACAGAAGGAGTGCACGATGTGCTGAAACAGGTAGCCCTCCCCCTCATGCTCCTCCACATACTCCAGTATGCTCCTCAGGTCCTCCTCGCCCAGCTCCACCGCCCCTCCACTCGCACCACCCGCAGAGGGAGGAGAGCGCAGAGCAGGCGTGGCAGGGGCGGGTGCTGCTGCTGCAGTGGTGGCGGGGCTTGGAGGAGCGGTGGACTGGGCATTGGCATTGACAACGGAGATGGCGTCTATGTAGAGCTGGAACAGGCACTGCTCTCTCTTTTTGGACCGACCTGAAACAGAGGAGCACGTGCATGCACATGTGTGTGTGTTTGTTTGTTTGTGAGCTTGAGTGTATAACTTTTGAGGAGCCTCAAAAGGCGTTGGCGACGGAGGTGGCGTCAATGTAGAGCTGGAAGAGGCACTGCTCTCGTTTCTTGCACCGCCCTGCCATGAATTGAAGGAACACGTGCATAGACATGTATGTGTGCATAGACATGTATGTGTGCATAGACATGTATGTGTGCATAGACATGTATGTGTGCATAGACATGTATGTGTGCATAGACATGTATGTGTGCATAGACATGTATGTGTGCATAGACATGTATGTGTGCATAGACATGTATGTGTGCATAGACATGTATGTGTGCATAGACATGTATGTGTGCATAGACATGTATGTGTGCATAGACATGTATGTGTGCATAGACATGTATGTGTGCATAGACATGTATGTGTGCATAGACATGTATGTGTGCATAGACATGTATGTGTGCATAGACATGTATGTGTGCATAGACATGTATGTGTGCATAGACATGTATGTGTGCATAGACATGTATGTGTGCATAGACATGTATGTGTGCATAGACATGTATGTGTGCATAGACATGTATGTGTGCATAGACATGTATGTGTGCATAGACATGTATGTGTGCATAGACATGTATGTGTGCATAGACATGTATGTGTGCATAGACATGTATGTGTGCATAGACATGTATGTGTGCATAGACATGTATGTGTGCATAGACATGTATGTGTGCATAGACATGTATGTGTGCATAGACATGTATGTGTGCATAGACATGTATGTGTGCATAGACATGTATGTGTGCATAGACATGTATGTGTGCATAGACATGTATGTGTGCATAGACATGTATGTGTGCATAGACATGTATGTGTGCATAGACATGTATGTGTGCATAGACATGTATGTGTGCATAGACATGTATGTGTGCATAGACATGTATGTGTGCATAGACATGTATGTGTGCATAGACATGTATGTGTGCATAGACATGTATGTGTGCATAGACATGTATGTGTGCATAGACATGTATGTGTGCATAGACATGTATGTGTGCATAGACATGTATGTGTGCATAGACATGTATGTGTGCATAGACATGTATGTGTGCATAGACATGTATGTGTGCATAGACATGTATGTGTGCATAGACATGTATGTGTGCATAGACATGTATGTGTGCATAGACATGTATGTGTGCATAGACATGTATGTGTGCATAGACATGTATGTGTGCATAGACATGTATGTGTGCATAGACATGTATGTGTGCATAGACATGTATGTGTGCATAGACATGTATGTGTGCATTCGATTCAAAACCACGTCCCACTCCTCCCAACCCCTCACCTCACATTCCTCCCAACCCCTCACCTCCCACTCCTCCCAACCCCTCACCTCCCCCCACGTCCATCTCGTTATTGATGATCTTGACAATGCCACACACCGCCACCACATCTCCCGGCAGGCATGCATCCGCCAGGTCCTCCCTGAGCTCGCAGTCCACCACCCGCGGCATCCTCCCCATGTCCTCGCCTCCACCAGTGCTGCTTGTCAGCTCCTGCAGACTTCATATCACGAAAAACACGTGGAAGAAAATTAGGAAAAATCGGGAAAATAATCAGGTAAGAATGGGTGCGTGTGAGACAGGCATGCATCCGCCAGGTCCTCCCTGAGCTCGCAGTCCACCACCCGCGGCATCCTCCCCATGTCCTCTCCCCCTCCCACACCCCCTGACAACTCCTGGAGACTGCATCTTAAGAAAACAAAGAAGACGAGAAAGCATGATTGTAATAAGATTTTGCAGTGCTGTGTCTGAGATGCACAAGAGACTCTAGAGGGTGAGGGCTGAGGAACGGGAGTGCCGATATACTCCATGGTCCAGCAGGTTTAAAATGGTGGAGACAGTTGTAAAGTTGTGTGGTAAACGTGTCTTACTTACCGTATTGTCTGAAAGTTTATTTTCCGGGCACCTGCCCGGTTTTGCAGGAAGGTGCGGTTGCGGCAGTTGTCATGGGCGCACGCAGCAGGGTGGGTGAAGCGACCATCGGGGAAGGAGAGGGAGGTGATGGCGCCACAGCGCGTGCAGGTGAAATCCATTGCCACCACTAGAGGCCGCAGTGGACCCACCCGCACCACCGTCCCACACACTGTCACCAGCCGATCTGCGTGAAGGAAGAGGGGAGGGTAGGGGAGGAGAGGAGAGGAAAGGGGAGGGACCGGGTGACGAAAGCGAGGGGAGTGACCTTTCAGATGAATATTTGGCTTGTGGTGTGGAGGAACTCCCACATTTCCACTGGCAGCCAAGCAAGTCAACGAAGATGCAAAATTGCTGGTTGCAAAATAAACAATCGAAAACCAAAATGGTGTAAACAACAGAGCTTCGCAGCTGGAGCCCTACCCACCATTTATACAAATTGATACAAATGCGTCTGAAAAGGACTGCAGGTGAGTCTGCTGAGTGCTCTCACCGATGCTGCTGGCTTTGAGCTTCTTGAACTCAATAATTGAGTCGGTGTGGTCCACCAGCCTCACGGCGAGGCGAATCAACCTCAAATGACATCGACAGGATTGCTACTGAGTCTGCTGAGTGAAGAGTTTCTCACCGAGGCTGCTGGCTTTGAGCTTCTTGAACTCAATAATCGAGTCGGTGTGGTCCACCAACCTCACAACCAGGCGAGTTGAGGCGTACTGTGTGGCACATGCTGACGCGGAGGGGAGGGGTGGGCCCTCGATCAGGCCTCTCTCGAGGAACATCTGGCACGCAGGGAAAGAGAGGCGAATCCTTTAGTCGACACAAAAGTCACAAGGGGAAAGTGGGGGCTCAATCAGGCCTCTCTTGAGGAACATCTGGCATGTAGGGGGAGTCAAATCAAATGGTGGAGGCGTGTGAGGGTCATTGCAGAGGAAGCGGAGTACGCGCCACTGAGAGTATACCTGATCATCAGCGCACACACGTGGGTGATGAAATGAAAACAGATTTCGACAAGAAAGACTCAGCAACGCACCGACGGCAGGCCAGCAAAGGAGAGGACACATGGAGCGCAGCACCACTCGCGGAACCCTCTGTCAATGAAGGGAATCTGAGTCATACAGTTGCGCTGTTGAACCTTTACTGCAGTGGCACCCAACCCTGTTATGCGTACTTGGAATGAACCAACACGTCATTAAACGTGTCGTACCTCAGTGGCAGCAGCACCCAGGCAGGCCAGTGCTTCCTCTGGCGCTGCCTCAAGCGCTTGAATCAGCAGCTCCGCAGCTGCACCCAGATCGCCCTGGCCAGTGCTGCTCGCAGGCTGCAGATGCTGCTTCAATGACTCCATGCTCACCGTCCATCGTGAGTGAAGAGACAGCTCCTTAGGGTCGGCCTGTGTTTTGGTAGGTGGGAAGCAGGGATGAGGTATGGTAAGACATGTCACTTGAGGCACCGCGCCTTAGTGGCGGCAGCACCTGGCAGGAACTGCTTCAATGACTCCATGCTGACCGTCCATCGCAAAAACAGAGACAGCTCCTTACGGTCCGCCTGTGTTTTGGTAGGTGGGAATCAGGGATGAGGTATGGTAAGACATGTCACGTGAGGCACCACGCCTTAGTGGCAGCAGCATCTAGACAGGAGCTGCTTCAGTGCCTCCATGCTGATTGTTTGTCGCGAGTAAAGAGACAGCTCCTTACGGTTCGCCTGTTTCAGGTGGAAGGAAGGAATGAGAATGTGGTGTGGGTGAATTGTGGCCGTTAGATCAGAAATGCCTGGCAATGCAATGGTATGTATCTCCCATTGCACCTGAGATTGTCAGTCGCAGCATCGAGCAATGTCAGTCCATGAATTAGTCAATGTCAGTTCGGTCATCAGTCAACGATTAGCAACTGCGTCTGAAATCGTCAGTCCATGCACAGCAGGAACCTGTTGACAGACTAGGTTTGTAATCCAGATAACGTCATCATTGTCATCCTAATATTCAAAGGATGAAAAAGTGCCCGTCACTGCATTGAAGGATCTTAATGCATGAGCGATCATCCATCTCTCCTAATCACGATAATCATTCAGCCTTGCCTCCGTAAATGTCAGTCACAATTATTGTAGAGAACTATCTGTTGTTGCATCAAGAACCTCCTACTAGTGCAACAGCAGACCTCCGGTAGTACCTGCTGCAGCAGCTGCTGGCCTTTCTCCGAGAGGAATCCGTCAATGAGCGATTTGATGAGCTCCGCTCGTCTGTCCTCGGGAGAGAACTCCTCGCCGGGAAAGTAAAGCGTCCAAGAAATCGGTACACCCGACGCCTGAACGGCGGGTCTGTTAAGTGCCTCCATTGAGCTCGTTCTTGCAGAATGAGATTTTCAAGCAGCGAAGAGTGGCGATCGCATCGCACGAAAGCGTCGCTCGGTAAAAAACTAATAGAACCTTTCGCACTTTAGGCCTGGTCTATAATCCTCGAGGGTAACGGCATGATCCCTGAAAGGATAACGCAGTATCACTAAGAAATGATCACCGCAAAGTAGAAGCAGAATAACTCAGCCTGATGAAGAAGGAATAGCCAACTATAAACTAACCAACACCGTGTGGGTGCTTGATGTGACAGAGCAAGAAACGATTCGACAAAAAACTTTGAAGTCCAGAAAACGAGGAAACAGAAGTTTGAGCCATCAGATTCCATATTTGGGATGGCACGGCAGCTTCAAGGTTACGCTATTCCTCGATTGTTGTCAGAAAGTGGAGCTTCCACCACACTGGAACACACGGTACCTCTCGAAAACATGGAATACCAAGTCCAACCCATCTCAAATTGGGGCCCTTTTGGTCTTGATTCCTATCCACCTCCAAGCTTCTTTGGAAATTTGTTAGGCTGGCCACTATAGGCAGCACGCAAACGAGTTTTTGGATCTCCCAAAACGAGGACAGATACACACACAATCTTCAGGATCCATCCAAGTGTAAATTCTGCGAAGGCGACATAGCTGCCCGCCGTAGCTTCAGCTTCAACTGCGAGATCCATATGACGCGGTCCGTGATAGCAGCCAACGCACGTAGATTCAGCACTGCTCGCTTTGTGAATGCGGCTCGGTCCGATCTCGTAACAGACGTCCGATCGGATCTCGTCGGAATTCAGCCAGAGTAGTTCACAGATATCATGTTGAACCATCCCTCGCGCGTGTCGTCCGCGACGGCGTGGACGTTGAACGTGGTCAGCTCGGTCGCCATCATTCTCGTCAACAAGCAAGTCATGACCGGATACGCCTTCGTCTACGGTCAGTAGCATCGCTTTTCTTAGTCGCCGTCATTAGTGCTCATTCAGTCAGGCCCGTCGTTCGCGTTTGCTCTCCGCCGCCACGCACCCTTCCAGACTTTCCTCCTACGTTTCCCCTCCTCCCACTCCTCCCGCCTTCCCCCTCTCCCCCTTCTTACCCCCCCACCCCTCCATTTCCCCCTTCTCCCCCCTTTTTCCTCACCAGCCACCACACTAAGCGGCCTGCACCTCTCCTTCGCCACTCTAGCCGGGCTGCTCTGCCTCTGCCTCGCGCGCTACCTCCCACCCCCCTCCCCGTCCCCCTCCCCCCTTTCCCCCCCTCCGCTCTCCCCCTCCGCCACTCTGCTCCCCCCTTCAACCACGCCTCCACCCGCCCCGGTCCCCACGCTACCCGCGTGGGAGGTGGGTCGCTTCACGCTGCTCTCCAACGTGTGTGTCGTCACCACCAACTTCGCCCTCCTTGCCAACTCTGTGGGATTTTACCAGGTGAGCAACACCCGCAAGACCCTCACTTATGTGTCCTTTGAGGCGCCTTATAGGGAGGTGGGTCGCTTCACGCTGCTATCCAACGTGTGTGTTGTCACCACCTCGCCCCCCTCGCCAACTCCGTCGGATTCTACCAGATGAGCGCTTAGGCACACTCTATCCATGTAGCCACACAGACTCAACCAATGTGGCGATCAATGATTGGTCCGTTTCTGATTGACCAGGCTGTTGTTGATTCACGGGCTCGTCCTTGCATAAATAAAATTCTTTCTCTCAGAAGCTGTTCCCTTCACTTCACCACCTGCCCGTACCTCCCCTCCACTTTCCACCAGATCAGCCGTCTGGCGATCATCCCGATGACATGCGCATTTGAGTCTCTGCTACACGGCAAGACCTACTCGGCCCCCACGCTAGCAGCGGTGCTGGTGGTGCTGGTGGGAGTGGGTGTGTGCACGGTCACTGACCTCTCTGTCAGCGCGTTTGGGCTCGTCACCGCTGCTGCTGGCGCTATTTCCACATCCCTGCAGCAGATTGTGAGTGTAACGAATGTGCAGAGAATGGAGCAGAGATAAGACGACCTTTCTTCCTCCTCACCACGCCTTTCACTTCCCTACATCCCCTGCCACCCCTCCTATCCCCACCATCCCCACTGTCCCCATCATGCAGTCGGTGGGCGAGTTGCAGCAGCGCTACGCACTGGGCTCCTTTGACCTGCTCATTCAGACCACCCCCCTGCAAGCGAGGGTGTCTTTTTCCATCGTCCTTTCTTCCTCCTCACTACGCCGTTTACTTCCCTGCCATCCCTGCCTTTAAATCATCCCACCTCCCCTGCCTCCCCTCTCATTCCATCATGCAGTCAGTGGGAGAGTTGCAACAGCGCTATGCCCTGGGCTCCTTCGACCTGCTCATTCAGACCGCCCCCCTGCAAGCAGTGTCGCTGCTGCTGCTTGGACCAGCTGTGGACTTGCTCCTTACAGGCCACAACGTCATTCACTACACCTTGACTGCCGATGCCACTGTAGGTTCTGGTTTCGTGCTGAAGCAGCTTCCTCCCTGATGCTGCTGAGACCTGCTGTGGACCTCTTACTCACTACACCCTGACCCTCAACGCCACTGTAAGTGCTGGCTTTTCTGTTGAATCATAAGTCAGTGCAAGCAGCCTCGCTGCTGCTGCTGGGACCCGCTGTGGACCTCCTCCTCACAGGCCACAGCGTGGCTCATTACACCCTGACCGTTGATGCCACTGTAAGTGCTGTTTTTCATATTGAATCGCAAGCATTCATGCGGACTTCCTCCTCACAGGCCACAGCGTTCTCCACTACACCCTGACTGCCGATGCCACTGTAGGTTCTGGTTTTCGTGTTGAATCAAAGTCCAATCCCCAGTAGGCAGCACGTATCAGCTCGATTTCCATCCAGATTTAGTTCTCACACCAGGTTTCTTAACCTATCACTGTCGATCACCCACCAAGGTTTGACTATGCTCTCACCTTTCCCCCCCATCCCCCCATCCCCCCCTGCACACCACACCACCAGGCGTGGATTCTCCTCTCCTGCATCCTCGCCCTCCTCACCACCCTCAGCATCTACCTCTGAGGTGGTTTTTGAGGCGCCTAAAGATCCCTGCTCCCCCATCCCCCCCTGCACACCCACCACCAGGCCTGGATTCTCCTCTCCTGCATCCTCGCTCTCCTCACCACCGTCAGCGTCTATCTCTGCATAGGAAAGTTCTCCGCAGTTTCCTTCCAGGTGCTAGGTCACATGAAGACCGTCGCCATACTGCTACTAGGCTGGGCGGTCTTTAAAGACCCTCTTACTCTTAAGACGCTCCTAGGGATGCTCCTGGCTGTGACAGGGATGGTGCTGTATAGTTGGGCTGTGGAGAGGGAGAGGAGGGTGAGGGAAGGTGCGGAAAAGGACGAGGAGGAGGGCTGTGGAGCAACAGCTGATGGGGCTGCAGCAGCAGCGGCTGAAGATGAGAGTGTGGCTGCACTGAGATTGAATGAGACTACACCTCTCTTGCAAACAGGACAGGGTAATGGATATGGTTCTAGTATAAATTCCGGTAGTGTGTGTGTGATGTCGAGTAGTGGTGGTAGCAGCAATATAGCAAGTGTAGGATGATAGTGTGGTACTAGCAGCTTTCAGTGTACAAAATCTTCTGATAGTGCTATCCCTAATACCGTAAAGGTTCAATCAGGTCAGAACAAACTTACATGCTCTGATCGGGTACATCATCCAATAGTAATTTTACGGTATCAGCTTCTCATCCGCGTAAATGATTTTTTTCGAAAGTGTGTAACACTTTCTAAAAATGCATTTTGTGAAAGCGCAGCTGCCTGTAACGCAGCAAAGCAACGGCAAATTACAATTCGCCGAGTACATAATGAGGGTTGGAGGCCATTCGGCCTCCACCCACGACTTCATTTCGGAACTTTGCAGTTCCACTCTCCACCCACCCACCCTAGTTGTACATTTGTATAATCCATAGTTGGATGAGAGTGTTGTAAGTACTGCAATTGTAATGAAGCCCGTTGCCTTTGCAAGAACAGAAAGCAAGCTTTCTCAATCTAATGGGTACAGCAAGCCTATGTGACTACGGTATGTCCCACATCCCTGCAGCAATGCCCTTTGCCTGCATGTCCGCCGCCGCATCTGCAAGCGAATCCCTGGTGTTCAACCAAACCACCTGGCTATCATAAGATTGGTTCGGTTCACTGTAGCTGTTGTTCTACAGTGCAGTGACCCCTCTTTCCAACATCATGGCAGCCAGCACCTAGGCCAGCTTGTGCACATCTACCATGGCTTCTGTTTGTCTTGTTTTAAATTCAGTTCAACACATTATCATAAGAATGGTTTAGTGTACTGTAACAATTGCTGAACAGTAACCCCTCGCTCCCACATGGCAGCAGCGAGCACCTCGGCCAGTTTGTCCACATCGGCCATGGCTCGGTGGGCCAGGTCAGGGTGCGCAAAGGGCGTGGAGCAGCAGAAGTGCGTTGAGTAGAGGAATCCCAGCGCCTTGCTCGCTGGCATGCGATCCGTGTCTGCCCGGGAGGAGAAGGGAAAGAGTGTGTGTAACAGATGGGCGGGGAGTGGGGGAAGCGCGCAAAGGAAGGCGTGAAGAAGGGGCTTGGAGCAGCCAAGGCGTGTTGAGGAAAGGAATTTCAGCCCCTTGCTTGCTGGCTCGCGGTCCGAGTCTCTCCGAAGAGAATTGGGAGAGATATGCAAGAAGGAAGCAGCGCACCTTTGAAGAGTCTTTGCACGAGGCGCATGGAGTCTAGGGAGTGCCATCCAGGAGGCACAGCGATCCCAACTCGCTGCAGCTCGTTGCGCAGCAGAGGGAAGTCAAACGACCACCCGTTGTGCGCCACCAGCACCACCGGGGGGAGCAGCAGGGGGGCTGCAGAAGAGACAGCGCTCATCTGAGTCATCTCTGCACTCATCCCCATACGCATCCCTGCCCCCGCCTCGGTGTTCACGTAGACGCCAGTGGTAGCCGTGCTGTGTACTGAAACTGCCGTCCGCTCTGCCTGCGCCGCCCGCCTGGCCTCCACAAAGTCCACCAGCAGCCGGCCGGCTGCTGGCCAGCTGATCCAATTCAAAACATGTGACACAGGGGAAAAACAATCAGGAGCGAGGAAATGTGGGGCGCAGAGAGCGTGTAGGAGTATATGAGTGAGAATAGGGGTCGTTTGATGCACCTCATAAGGTCTTTCGCGGCGCCTCTGAGAATACGCACAGGTGGATGAGTGAGAGTGGAGGTTTGGGGATGGGTGTGAGCGACCCTGAATGCACCTGACTGACACTGTGTTGCTCACTGCCCAAGGCAGGCATGGACGTGTGCCCAGCCACCAGCGATCGGGGAAACTATGAGCCCAGGGGGCGCCGCCAACCACTCCCAGGGAAATGTAGGGGCGGGCGGGTGGCATGCGCATGCTGATGCCATGAACTGCCTTAGAGTCGGGAGAGATGTCCCACGGGAGCGGGTTCATCAGCGTGTGCAGCGCCGCCCCTGCCCGCCCACCCGCCACATCCCTCAGAGCCATCTCCCGAAACAGAACAAAAAAAGAGCTTTATTTTTGACCCTAAAAGCTTCCTCTTGCTCTTTCAAACGGCAAGAAAGAGATCTCTCAACACTCACAGGGGGACGACTCACTGGGGAACGGAGGGGCGGTTGACCATGCGCATGCTAATCCCATGAATCCTCTCCGCCTCTGAAGAGATGTGCCGCGGGAACGGGTTCACCAGCGTGTGCAGCGCCGCGCCCCGCCCACCCGCCACGTCCCTCAGAGCCAGCTCCACTATGCGATTCTGGGTGGTGCCCTGCCCGGTCGTTTCAAAGTCCAGCAGAATCACCACTGGCAGCGGGCCGTCCTCGCTATAAGCATCCTCAGCGGCTTGCTCGGGATTTTCGGGGTCTTTCTCCTTGTCATGCTTCGGCTTCCGCCCTCGCCTTTGTTTTGCCTGCGCTGCTGCTGCTTCTGATTCCGCTGCTTCTGCCACTACTACTTCTACTGTTGAGTTTTTTCTTGCCACTGCCACTCTCCCTACAGACAACCTCTTTGTTATCACCCTTTCCTCTGCCACTCTCCACGCTCTCACACTCCCTTCTCTCCCACTTCCTTCTTTCACCTCCCCTTCTTTCACAATCCCTTTCTTCCCTCTCCCTCTTACAATCCCTCCTCTCGCATTCCCTCTCACACTCACTACAGTCACACCCGCCCTTATCCCTGCAGCCACATGTATCCCCATCCGCATGCTCCGCTGCAGCTCGCCGACATCCGTTACAGTCACACAATTCGACGGCGCAATTCCGATTGCTGTCACGCCATGCAACGCCCCAATTGCTATCACGCCGTTTAAAGCCCCGATTGCGACACGCGGCCGGGAGAGGCACGCGAGGGCGACAGGGAGGCGGAATCGCCCGAGAGAGGTCGCTCGCTCAGCCCACCCGTCAAGGGAAGGTCGCTCCTTTGGCAAGCACCGTCGGCGAGAGGTGGCTAGCTCAGGTCGATTATTGAGTCGACTCCAAAGCTCAGACGAGTGTAAGCAGCGGAGGGAGGGGCAGAGCGGGGAGCGGACCAGGGGACCGGGCGGCGGAGGGGAATGGGGAGCGAGCGGGGGAGGGGAAGGGGGAGCGAGCGGTAGGAGACGCGGAAGGCGGACGGGGCGGCGGAGAGAATGCGCGAGGAGCATTCGATTGGGTCTCGGGGGGTTGCGGACAGAGAGCAACGGAAATGCGGTGACTTGTGCGTCGACTCAGGGAGCGGCGGAATCGCGGATGAAAAGCAGCGACGATGCGACGTGCGACTAGGTCGACGCGACACCGACGAGAGTGTCGCACAGTGGGTTGCTCAGGGAGAAGCTACGCTGTTTGTGATCGATTGTTGCAAGCTCTGGCAGGCATGGGTGCGGCGTCTGTCAATGCCGGTACGTGAAATGGGGTGGTGGATTTGTTGCTGGAGCTGAAATGGGATGGGGCGAGTGTGGCTTGTGCAATCAGCAGCAGTCGATACCCCGTTATGAGGAACCACCACACAGTGTTACTGTATCGCGATAAGGTGCCATGATAAGAGACTGTAACATGTGTAGTTCTATAAACGGCATTGGTCTGCAGTTAATGGCCTAGCTAACCAAAAGTACTGTACTGTGATATTTTCTGGTAGACTCAAATAGTCGACCTACAGCAGTTTTTGATTGACCTCTGCTACATGTCTACAGGGATCTCTACATCCCGTCTCTCTACCCGCTGCTGCACCAAGAGATTCTCCACATAGCCAACAGGAGGTTAGGCATCAGCGGGCGCATTTTAAGATGATCAACAACAGAACTGCTACAGCTGTGTTGAGGCGAGTAAACAGTAGTGTGAGAGTCAACGGCGAACGGGTCTAACGGCGAAAGAGTCAACGGCGGGAGGTGCTGGCAGCAGCCCTGCGCTTGGATGATGCCCGCTGCTCCTCCTCCCTCTCCTCCTTCCTCGTCTGCCCGGCACGTGAAGCAGCACAGTGCAAGCAGAGCACATGACACAGCACGACATGGCACGGCACAAGACAGAACGGCACGGCATAGCATGAGAGATGATGAGTTGATGAGAGGGGTGGGAGTGAGCAGGCGAGTGTGCTTCAGCACTGAGCACTGGATTTAGACAGCTCAGGTGAGATGACACAACATGTCATGCTGATTAGGAGGGGGGCCTGAGATGACAGCATGGCATGGCATGCACACTTCAGGCAGCAACTGACATGGAGGATGCGCACGGAAACAGCGACAAAGCGCACAGAAACAGCGACAAAGTCAAGCATCAGCCACGTGGTGGCAGTGGCAAGGCAGGATGGGGTGCAAGGGGTGTAGCATGCCCGCGCACTGGCTAGGTGACGTGGTTACACACATACGAGGATGAAGAGGATGAGCACGAAGTCAGCGACAAAGTCCAGCAGCAGCTCGAGGGCATCAGCCACGTGGTGGTAGTGGCAGGGCGGGATAGAATGTGGTGTACCGCATCCAGGCACTGACCATGTGACGTGGTTACCACAAGTGGTTACAGACTCACCAGGATGAAGAGGATGCGGACAAAGACGGCCACAAAGCCCGACAGCAGCTCGAGGGCATCCACCACGTGGTCGCAATGACCCTGCTTCTCCCCCTCTCCCACGTCGTCCCCGTGGCAGGTGCAGCATAGAATGTGGTGCCGATGGGGTGTGGTGTGGTGTGGTTAACAAAGGTGGTTGGTTACAGACTCACGAGGATGAAGAGGATGCGGACAAAGACAGCGACAAAGTCCAGCAGCAGCTCGAGGGCGTCCACCACGTGGTCGCACTGGCCTTGCCTCGCCCTCTCCAGCAGCACCTGTGTATCGTATATGATGTATCCTGAGAAGACCAGCAGGCCTCCGTACAGCTGGTGGGGTTAAAGGAAAAGGGACAGATTGGGAGAGGGGGGTGAGAGGAGAAGTGAGATGGTGTAGCAAGGAAGCGGATTAAACAGCCGCTCTGCTTCTCTCCAGCAGCACCTGTGTGTCGTAGAAGATGTATCCTGAGAAGACCAGGAGCTATGTGGAGAAAGACGCTGGGGCAGCCCTGCGTCCTGCGTCCGGACGCAGCGTCCGGACGCAAAGACGCAGGACGCGCGTCCGGACGCAGGACGCACCCTGGAAAATTTTTCGGGCAGACCGAGATTTTTTTTTTTCGCGATCGCGAAATTGACATTCGCGATTTCGTCGCGAATGTCAATTTCGCCAAAATTCGACACCCCCCAAGCAAATTCGACCCCCAAATCCAGCCATCTAATTCACCTTGCTATGAAAGTGTGTTCGCGAATGTCAATTTCGCCAAAATTCGACACCCCCCAAGCAAATTCGACCCCCAAAACCAGCCATCTAATTCACCTTGCTATGAAAGTGTGTTCCCCCCCCCCCCCCCTCCCCCCCCTCTTACCCCCTCTTCCCTCTGCCCTATAACTTTTTTTTTGGCTGCCTGGGGGGTTTTTTTTGGCTGCCCGGACCTGCGTCTTTTGCTGCGTCTCGGGGGCCCTAAACTAGCGTCCAGCGTCTGGACGCATGCGTCTGGACGCATGCGTCCAGGACGCTGGACGCGTCTTTCTCCACATAGACCAGGAGGCCTCCATACAGCTGGTGGGGTGAAAGAGACAGACAGGGAGAGGAGATGGGAAGAGTATATTAGTGTAGCAAGCAGGCACACTGGCCCTCTTCACCAGCACCTGTGTGTCGTATATGATGTATCTGGCGAACACCAGGAGGGCGCCGTACAGCTGTGCGAAAGAGGAGGTGGAAGAGGGTGTGGGAGAGGGGGTGGGAATGGGGTTGAAAGCTATGTGGAGAAAGACGCGTCCAGCGTCCTGGACGCATGCGTCCAGACGCTGGACGCTAGTTTAGGGCCCCCGAGACGCAGCAAAAGACGCAGGTCCGGGCAGCCAAAAAAACCCCCCCGGGCAGCCAAAAAAAAAGTTATAGGGCAGAGGGAAGAGGGGGTAAGAGGGGGGGGGGGGGGGGGGAACACACTTTCATAGCAAGGTGAATTAGATGGCTGGTTTTGGGGGTCGAATTTGCTTGGGGGGTGTCGAATTTTGGCGAAATTGACATTCGCGACGAAATCGCGAATGTCAATTTCGCGATCGCGAAAAAAAAAAATCTCGGTCTGCCCGAAAAATTTTCCAGGGTGCGTCCTGCGTCCGGACGCGCGTCCTGCGTCTTTGCGTCCGGACGCAGGACGCAGGGCTGCCCCAGCGTCTTTCTCCACATAGGTTGAAAGAACGTGTGAGATATGTGGCAAGGGAGCGATTTCACCACGCACGCTCGCCTTCTCCAGCAGCACCTGTGTGTCGTATATGATGTGGCCTGCGAACACCAGGAGACCCTGAACAGCTGGTGGGGTGAACGGGGCAGAGAATGAGAGGGGCGTGGAAGAGGGAGTGAGGGAGGGGTTTGAGAAAACGTGCGAGATGATGCAGAAATGAAGCAGCTACAACGTGATTAGATTCGTAAGTCTGTGTATACCGGAGAGAGCACACACACACGTACCTCGATCTGAAAGACACATCGAAACCGCCGAAGAAGATAGAGGCGAAGCGCAGGGAGGGCATGGTGGAAACAGCAGAGGAGGGGAAGCCCCCCGGGTAGAGGTACTCTTGTCACACTCCACAGAGACACTGAATCGGCACACAGAAACATCATTACTCACACACGTACCTCCATCTGGAAAACAGCGTTAGAGCCGCCAAAGAAGATGGAAGCGAGGCGAAGGGCGAGCATGGTGGAGACGGCAGAGGCGAGGAAGCCCCCCAGGTACAGGTACTCCCTGCGCTTAGCCAGCAGCGCCGCTCCTGAGAAGCACAGGAAGATGGCCGCTGTTGCGACGAATGCTGTGACTAGCAGACTGCGGGCAGGTGTTAAGAAGGAAGAGGAAGGGGGAGGGGAGCGGGAGAGGGGAAGAGGCAGGGGAGAGAGGTTGGGAATAGACAAAGGTGAGTGTCTGGGTAGAGGGAGAGGAATCCGCCCAGGTACAGGTACTCCCTGCGCTTAGCTAGCAGCGCCGCTCCTGAGAAGCACAGGAAGATGGCTGCCGTTGCGACGAATGCTGTGACTAGCAGACTGGGGGGTGGAGGGTTGGTGAGGGAGGCGGGGGAGGGGAAGAGAGGTTAGAGGTCGGCAGAGCAGAGGTGCTCGGGTAGTGGGAGAGTAGCTGAGAGTGGGGCAGGGAGGGTGGGACGGGGCTGGCGAGAGAGGTTCGGAGTAGGACAGACAAGCATGGGGGATGTGCAGTGGAGTGTGCAAGGGTGGGAGAATGCGAGGGTGAGAAGGAGACGGGGAAGACGATGCGAGGGGGAAGGGAGGGGTGAGTGGAAGGAGTGCGAGGCCGAAGTATGGGAAACGGAGCAAACGCAGAGACGGAGAGCAAAGGAGTGAAACGAAGAGCATGCAGGCAGCGCGGAAGGGGACGGCGAGGGTGGCAGCTGAGGAGGGACAGAGGGAGGAGGACGAGATGGGGGTTGGTGTGGAATGGGCAGAGAGAAAACGAGGGAAGAAAACCGCGCGTTGCCAGACGGTTGACCTAAGTATTGTGTTTTTCCCGGTTGTACTTTTTTTTTTTTTTTTTGGGCTTTAAGGAGATCCCCGGAGGAAACCAACCCCCCGTAGGGAGAAGGCGCTTCGGTAAGCAGCATTATACCGGCTGTGCGTTTAGTCGCCAAAACCCCCATCGATCACCATAAGCGCGTGCCCCGTTTCGGGGACAGCCGTACCCGGATGGGCGTTGGCTTCAGAGGGGAAGGTAAATTCCCGGTTGTACTGGGCTAGCCTAATAAGTGGGTGGCCCTCCGCTTGGCATGCCTGAAGTTAACCTAAAGTTAACCAGTTTTGAGACGTCTCGTTTTGAGACGTTTTGAGACGTCTCGTTTTGAGACGTTTTGAGACGTCTCGTTTTGAGACGTTTTGAGACGTCTCGTTTTGAGACGTTTTGAGACGTCTCGTTTTGAGACGTTTTGAGACGTCTCGTTTTGAGACGTTTTGAGACGTCTCGTTTTGAGACGTTTTGAGACGTCTCGTTTTGAGACGTTTTGAGACGTCTCGTTTTGAGACGTTTTGAGACGTCTCGTTTTGAGACGTTTTGAGACGTCTCGTTTTGAGACGTTTTGAGACGTCTCGTTTTGAGACGTTTTGAGACGTCTCAAAACCTGAAGTTAACCTAAAGCTTTCCTACCCAGGGTTGACCTAAGGCTGCCATATTAGGGACCTACCCGGGGTTGATTTGAATAACAGCATCGACGAGCGGACCGATGGAGCAGCCGTGCGAGAAGGCAATGGCGAGAAGCAGGCGAAAGCGAAACGGCTGGCGAATGATTCGCGAGGATCCGGCAACGCGTGGGAAGGGAGAGACGGGGAAAAAGGGGGAAAATGTGTTAAAAGAAGGAAAGACGAAGAAAGGTGTTGCTGAAAAGTGAAAAAAAACAAAATAGCGGTTGGCTAAACATCCAAAATCCTTCGTCGCTTCGCTTGCATTGCGGAAGTCATAAGAGCATTCGCCCTAGAAGTATACTAGCCCAGTACGCCTACGGACGCGACAAAACGTTGAGAGCTAGTACACAGCTTCGCGGGAAGAATACTAGCAAAAGACGAGACTGGAAGACGAGGAGAGGAGGATGCGGAGAGGAGGCGGACCTCGTTAGCGGGTACGGCGGGAGTGGCGTTGAGCCAGAGCACTCCCGCGATGGACGCTATCGACGAGAGCGCGCCGCCGAGGCCCCACAGCACGTGCGCGTACGCGCCCAGCGACGCGACGACCAGCGTCAGCGAGAGCGTCAGGTAGACCTTCTGCAGATGAGACTGTATCGAGGGGGTGAGCGCGGAAAAGTTCTTTAACGCGTCGAAGTTGAAGGATTGCGAGTCGCCAAAGCGGGAGAAAGGGGACGAGCCCCGCGATGCTGTAGCCGCCATGACGGAGGGATCGCAGATGATGGCACGCGATGCAAGGAGCGGTGAAGGAAGCAAGCGGTGCAGCGAGAAGGATGATACTGGTATCTTCAAGCTACGTTACTAGTTTCTGGAGCAGTATGTGAGGGAAGAATGCTGTGCTGGATAGATCTGTTAGTACAGGCACGAGCAGGAATTTGTACGCGCTGCTGTGCTGATGAGCTTTCTTGGGGTTCCCGCAATCCAATGCGAAGTGCTCGGGGGTTGTTTTGGTGAACAGCTCGGTACGGTGCAGGCAGCGATGGGTCTAGATCGGCTTGATAGATTTGTGCAGATGACTCACTGCGTGCTTTTCACGAAAAGGACGAGAATCTGGCTGCTACCTGGAACTTTCAAGAAAGTGCTAGAGTGGGCGAAACGATGTGCTGGAATAACCATGGGGCAAGTGTTACATTCTAAGAGAATGGATCAACATAGTAAGAGTGCCTCAAACTTGCATTTGAATGAAAACACGACTAACACTGTGGTTTTACCAGAAAAGTACGTTATCACTCTAGCGCAACCCGCCTCATCTTGGCGACCAGGCGGGCAGTGGTGGCATCCAGCGATCCCCCAGCACCACTCTCCTGAGCAATAAACTCCGCCAGGCTCGCCTTGGGCGTGGCAAAGCACGCTTGGAAGGTCGCAATAGCAGGTGATGCAGCCACATACAGCACAGACAGTACACTGCACAGATACTCTATGTCTGCTGCTAGCTGCTGTGCCCCACGATCGGACACCTCGGGAATTGCCCAAATCTGCTCGACGAATAGCGACGTCGCCCCGTCCGCAACCTTAGTCATCCACTCCCGGACGAAATATGCCCCCGCATCCTCCTCCCCTGCTGCGGTTGGCGTCGCGGATTCCCCGCCCGCCGACGCACCGCTTGCCGAGGCTTGCAGGAGCAGGCTCGGGGCAGCTTCGGAGGCAGCAACGGCGAGAGGCTCGAGTTGCTGGGGGAGAGTGAGGAGATATTCTCCCACGGCCGTGATGTATGGTAGAGCGTATGCGTTGAAAGCAGGTAGGTCAAACACATTCTCCTCCTCACCCAATGCCCAGTCCGGCATCGTGGATACCCCCGCCAGCTGCCGCCGCACCTGCAAGGTGGGGGCGCGAGAGGCACGGGGATGGATACAAGAAAAGGGGGAACGAGGCAAGCGAGGAAGTAGGTGATGAGACGAGTGCAGGGAGGAGTGTTGCAGCAGCATGGAAGAACACAATTGTTGAGAGGAAGGAAATCGAGGAAAGGGAAGAAAATGAAGCGTGCAAAGAAAGTGAGGGAAATGGGGAGATTGCGGGTAGCAGGGAGAGTGAGGGTAGCAGGGCGAGTGAGGGGAGTGAGGAGAGCGAGCGAGTGAGCGAGAGCGCAGAGGGACGATCGCATCCTCTGCGGTCATTGGACGATGTGCTCATAGGAGAGCCAATGAGCATTGAGCACATCGTGCACCAGCAATGAGGGAGGAGAGAGCGAGGGAGGGGAGGAGGGAGTGGAGGGTGAGGAGAGAAAGTGGGGTCGAGCAAAGAAGGCGAGGACAGAGAGTGGGGTAAGCCTGTAAGGGGGGGAGGAGAGTTGGTCGCACCTTGGCAATGAGCACGTCGTACACCAACGATGACACTGCTTCCTGGAAGCTTCTCACTCGCTGCGCCGTGCGCGGGAGCGCGTGGATGCGCGGGTCCCTCAGCTCGTCCAGCAGCCTGATGAGGGCAGGTGCACATCCATTGGCGGGAAGGAGGAAGGGGGGAATGGGGGGAGGGCAAGAGGGGGCAAGCAACCGTTATGGAGCCAGGCCTGAATGACCACGTGGTCATTTTCGTGCTGTATTGAAAGCACATTCAAGCCTTACACTGCTTTCACCACATGGCCCACTATCCCTTCACCCCATCACGCTGCACCTGGCGAGGCGCTGAGCCTTGTCGGGATACTCCGCCAGTCTCAGCACAGCCACATCCACCTCACTCCCCTCCACTAGCCCTACCCTCACCTTCCCCCATACGCCTCTCACCTTCCCCCATACGCCTCTCACCTCCCCCCCCATAATCCATTAACCCATACCTAGCAAGGCGCTGAGCCTTGTCGGGATACTCCGCCAGTCTCAGCACAGCCACATCCACCTCACTCCCCTCCACTCCCCCTCCCCCTCCTGCTCCGCTTCCCCCTCCCCCTCCCCCTCCCCCTCCCCCTGCGCCACCAACCGACCCCACCCGCTTCACCTCCCCTCCCGCGGATTCCCCTCCCCCTTCCCCTGCGCCATCCCCCCCAGCATCCAGCCCCAGGTGGGGGGAGAGCTGGGTGAGGGCGCTGCGGAGAGAGGCTTCAAACACTGCCACACGCACTGCCACACTCTCTGCCACCATCAGCAGTTGCAGCGCCCCCTGTACCACTGCCCACTCCTCCTCCTCCTCCACTCCCCCTGCTCCACCTCCCCCGTACCCTGCGGGGTCCGGTAGACTGGCTAACGGATCGTCTGAGACTGGATTGGTTCGGTCCGAGCCTGGGCCAGAGGCTCGGGTTGGAGCGGAAGGAGTGGCGGAGGAAGGAAGGGCGGGAGGTGGGGGAGGGGAGAGGCCGCAGATGGGGGGGAGGGATTGGAGGCAGGAGGAGAGGCGGGAGAGGAAGAGGAGGATGGAGTGGTCGAGAGAGGTGAGGAGCGCTGCTGCCTCTGAGCCCCCTGTGAATGCGAGACAGCGCTCCACTGCTGCCTCCAGTGCTGCCATGGCTGCTGGGATGGCCGCCTGTGGAGGGGTTGGGGAGGGCGGAGTGGGGCGGGTAAGAAAGAAGGGACGAAGAGGAGGGAGTGGTTGAGAGCGGTGAGCAACACTGCTGAGCCCCCTGTGAAGGCGAGACAGCACTCCACTACTGCTGCGAGTGCTGCCATGGCTGCTGGAGGAGTTGAGGGGACGAAGGGGGTAGAGGAGGGGAGAAGGAGAAGAGAGGTGATGCGAAGAGGGAGCAAGCAGCATGGGATAGGTGGTTGAGGAGCGTCTCCCAGCATCTCTCTCACCACCATGCACCGCACAGCACCGCTCTCAGATCCCCTCCTAGCACCCCTCTCACCTCCATGCCCCTCCCAGTACCCGTCTCACCACCATGCACCGCACAGCACCGCCTCTCACCTCCATGCGCCGCACAGCATCTGCCAGCACGAGCCCACGCTGCCCCACTTGCTTCACTGCGCCGCCCGGTCTGAGATCTATGCCGCCCAGATCCGCCGCCAGCTGTGCACGCTCATAGTCCCCGTAGTGCTGCTTGAAGGGCTCCAAGGGGCGGAATACTGCCCACACCACGGCGCTCACACTCACACGCCCCTCTCCCTCTTGCTCCCCCTCCTCCTCCCTGCCCTTGCTCTTGCTGCTTTTCTCTCCTCCCCCTGCGCCTCCTCCTCCTGCTGCTGCTGCGGTGGCTCCTTGTGTGTTTTTTTCAGAGGAAGATGGTTTATTGGCATCGGCGGTGGCGGAGGAAGGAAGGGAGGCGAGGAGGCGGGAGAGATTGCGTGCGAAGGTGGTGGTGGTGTCGTGTAGGGCGAGTAGCAGGGCCAGGCGCGTACAAGCTCTCGACTGGGATGCTGCAGACAGAGGCGAGAAGGCAGAGCAGAACATGAAAAAAAGAAGGACGACGGGAGTGGTTCAGAGGAGAGGAGAGGATGCATCCTCTCGTGACCGTTAGAGGGCAAAGGTGGCGGTGGTGGCGTGCAGGGCGAGCAGGAGAGCCAGGCTAGTGGACGGCCGCGATTGAGAGGCCGCAGGGCGGGGGAGGGAAGGCAGGTAGCAGCAAAAGTAGAGAAAAGGAAGTTTGAGGGGAATAAAGGAGAGGGGGTGAGTGCAGGTGCCACAGCCCTCTTCCCCTTCCCTCCCTTGCCTTCATGCTTTCCCAACCCCTCCCTCCCTACCTGTTTCGCCCCCATCAGCGGGAGCACTAGCAAGAGCAGCAAGTGCAGCGTCAGACACAGCAGCATCGACGCGCGCAGTGAAGCTGGAGGCCAGCCCTCCCCACGTGGCCGTGAGCAGGTGCTACAGCAGCAGACAGCCCCCCCCTCCCTACCTGATTCGCTGGCAGCAGGTGCCACAGCCCCCCCACCCCCTGGCTTGATGCTTTCCCACCCCCTCCCTGCCTACCTGCATCAGCAGCGGCAAGAGCAGACAGAGCAGCATCGGACACAGCAGCATCGGACACAGCAGCATCGGACACAGCAGCATCGGACACAGCAGCATCGGACACAGCAGCATCGGACACAGCAGCATCGGACACAGCAGCATCGGACACAGCAGCATCGGACACAGCAGCATCGGACACAGCAGCATCGGACACAGCAGCATCGGACACAGCAGCATCGACGCGGGTAGTGAAGCTGGAGGCCAGCCCGCCCCACGTGGCCATGAGCAGGTGCGTTCACTTGACACGTCATTGGTTGGTGGTGGATTAGATGGTATGTTGCAGGCGAGGTGGGTGATGACCTCACTCACCGCACCTGGAGGAGCTGAGCTGGACAGTGACAAATTCCTGTTGTCCTTCCGCCTGCTGCTCGTGCTCTTTAGGCGGGAGCTACCGTTGCTGGACGTCATCGTCATGTGGGAGGTGCGTTCACTTGACACGTCATTGGTTGGTGGTGGATTAGATGGTATGTTGCAGGCGAGGTGGGTGATGACCTCACTCACCGCACCTGGAGGAGCTGAGCTGGACAGTGACAAATTCCTGTTGTCCTTCCGCCTGCTGCTCGTGCTCTTTAGGCGGGAGCTACCGTTGCTGGACGTCATCGTCATGTGGGAGGTGCGTTCACTTGACACGTCATTGGTTGGTGGTGGATTAGATGGTATGTTGCAGGCGAGGTGGGTGATGACCTCACTCACCGCACCTGGAGGAGCTGAGCTGGACAGTGACAAATTCCTGTTGTCCTTCCGCCTGCTGCTCGTGCTCTTTAGGCGGGAGCTACCGTTGCTGGACGTCATCGTCATGTGGGAGGTGCGTTCACTTGACACGTCATTGGTTGGTGGTGGATTAGATGGTATGTTGCAGGCGAGGTGGGTGATGACCTCACTCACCGCACCTGGAGGAGCTGAGCTGGACAGTGACAAATTCCTGTTGTCCTTCCGCCTGCTGCTCGTGCTCTTTAGGCGGGAGCTACCGTTGCTGGACGTCATCGTCATGTGGGAGGTGCGTTCACTTGACACGTCATTGGTTGGTGGTGGATTAGATGGTATGTTGCAGGCGAGGTGGGTGATGACCTCACTCACCGCACCTGGAGGAGCTGAGCTGGACAGTGACAAATTCCTGTTGTCCTTCCGCCTGCTGCTCGTGCTCTTTAGGCGGGAGCTACCGTTGCTGGACGTCATCGTCATGTGGGAGGTGCGTTCACTTGACACGTCATTGGTTGGTGGTGGATTAGATGGTATGTTGCAGGCGAGGTGGGTGATGACCTCACTCACCGCACCTGGAGGAGCTGAGCTGGACAGTGACAAATTCCTGTTGTCCTTCCGCCTGCTGCTCGTGCTCTTTAGGCGGGAGCTACCGTTGCTGGACGTCATCGTCATGTGGGAGGTGCGTTCACTTGACACGTCATTGGTTGGTGGTGGATTAGATGGTATGTTGCAGGCGAGGTGGGTGATGACCTCACTCACCGCACCTGGAGGAGCTGAGCTGGACAGTGACAAATTCCTGTTGTCCTTCCGCCTGCTGCTCGTGCTCTTTAGGCGGGAGCTACCGTTGCTGGACGTCATCGTCATGTGGGAGGTGCGTTCACTTGACACGTCATTGGTTGGTGGTGGATTAGATGGTATGTTGCAGGCGAGGTGGGTGATGACCTCACTCACCGCACCTGGAGGAGCTGAGCTGGACAGTGACAAATTCCTGTTGTCCTTCCGCCTGCTGCTCGTGCTCTTTAGGCGGGAGCTACCGTTGCTGGACGTCATCGTCATGTGGGAGGTGCGTTCACTTGACACGTCATTGGTTGGTGGTGGATTAGATGGTATGTTGCAGGCGAGGTGGGTGATGACCTCACTCACCGCACCTGGAGGAGCTGAGCTGGACAGTGACAAATTCCTGTTGTCCTTCCGCCTGCTGCTCGTGCTCTTTAGGCGGGAGCTGCCTCTGTTGGACGTGATTGTCATGTGGGAGGTGCGTTCACTTGACACGTCATTGGTTGGTGGTGGATTAGATGGTATGTTGCAGGCGAGGTGGGTGATGACCTCACTCACCGCACCTGGAGGAGCTGAGCTGGACAGTGACAAATTCCTGTTGTCCTTCCGCCTGCTGCTCGTGCTCTTTAGGCGGGAGCTACCGTTGCTGGACGTCATCGTCATGTGGGAGGTGCGTTCACTTGACACGTCATTGGTTGGTGGTGGATTAGATGGTATGTTGCAGGCGAGGTGGGTGATGACCTCACTCACCGCACCTGGAGGAGCTGAGCTGGACAGTGACAAATTCCTGTTGTCCTTCCGCCTGCTGCTCGTGCTCTTTAGGCGGGAGCTACCGTTGCTGGACGTCATCGTCATGTGGGAGGTGCGTTCACTTGACACGTCATTGGTTGGTGGTGGATTAGATGGTATGTTGCAGGCGAGGTGGGTGATGACCTCACTCACCGCACCTGGAGGAGCTGAGCTGGACAGTGACAAATTCCTGTTGTCCTTCCGCCTGCTGCTCGTGCTCTTTAGGCGGGAGCTACCGTTGCTGGACGTCATCGTCATGTGGGAGGTGCGTTCACTTGACACGTCATTGGTTGGTGGTGGATTAGATGGTATGTTGCAGGCGAGGTGGGTGATGACCTCACTCACCGCACCTGGAGGAGCTGAGCTGGACAGTGACAAATTCCTGTTGTCCTTCCGCCTGCTGCTCGTGCTCTTTAGGCGGGAGCTACCGTTGCTGGACGTCATCGTCATGTGGGAGGTGCGTTCACTTGACACGTCATTGGTTGGTGGTGGATTAGATGGTATGTTGCAGGCGAGGTGGGTGATGACCTCACTCACCGCACCTGGAGGAGCTGAGCTGGACAGTGACAAATTCCTGTTGTCCTTCCGCCTGCTGCTCGTGCTCTTTAGGCGGGAGCTACCGTTGCTGGACGTCATCGTCATGTGGGAGGTGCGTTCACTTGACACGTCATTGGTTGGTGGTGGATTAGATGGTATGTTGCAGGCGAGGTGGGTGATGACCTCACTCACCGCACCTGGAGGAGCTGAGCTGGACAGTGACAAATTCCTGTTGTCCTTCCGCCTGCTGCTCGTGCTCTTTAGGCGGGAGCTGCCGCTGTTGGACGTCATCGTCATGTGGGAGGTGCGTTCACTTGACACGTCATTGGTTGGTGGTGGATTAGATGGTATGTTGCAGGCGAGGTGGGTGATGACCTCACTCACCGCACCTGGAGGAGCTGAGCTGGACAGTGACAAATTCCTGTTGTCCTTCCGCCTGCTGCTCGTGCTCTTTAGGCGGGAGCTGCCTCTGTTGGACGTCATCGTCATGTGGGAGGTGCGTTCACTTGACACGTCATTGGTTGGTGGTGGATTAGATGGTATGTTGCAGGCGAGGTGGGTGATGACCTCACTCACCGCACCTAGAGGAGCTGAGCTGGACAGTGACAAATTCCTGTTGTCCTTCCGCCTGCTGCTCGTGCTCTTTAGGCGGGAGCTGCCTCTGTTGGACGTTATTTTCATGTGGGAGGTGCGTTCACTTGACACGTCATTGGTTGGTGGTGGATTAGATGGTATGTTGCAGGCGAGGTGGGTGATGACCTCACTCACCGCACCTGGAGGAGCTGAGCTGGACAGTGACAAATTCCTGTTGTCCTTCCGCCTGCTGCTCGTGCTCTTTAGGCGGGAGCTGCCTCTGTTGGACGTGATTGTCATGTGGGAGGTGCGTTCACTTGACACGTCATTGGTTGGTGGTGGATTAGATGGTATGTTGCAGGCGAGGTGGGTGATGACCTCACTCACCGCACCTGGAGGAGCTGAGCTGGACAGTGACAAATTCCTGTTGTCCTTCCGCCTGCTGCTCGTGCTCTTTAGGCGGGAGCTACCGTTGCTGGACGTCATCGTCATGTGGGAGGTGCGTTCACTTGACACGTCATTGGTTGGTGGTGGATTAGATGGTATGTTGCAGGCGAGGTGGGTGATGACCTCACTCACCGCACCTGGAGGAGCTGAGCTGGACAGTGACAAATTCCTGTTGTCCTTCCGCCTGCTGCTCGTGCTCTTTAGGCGGGAGCTACCGTTGCTGGACGTCATCGTCATGTGGGAGGTGCGTTCACTTGACACGTCATTGGTTGGTGGTGGATTAGATGGTATGTTGCAGGCGAGGTGGGTGATGACCTCACTCACCGCACCTGGAGGAGCTGAGCTGGACAGTGACAAATTCCTGTTGTCCTTCCGCCTGCTGCTCGTGCTCTTTAGGCGGGAGCTACCGTTGCTGGACGTCATCGTCATGTGGGAGGTGCGTTCACTTGACACGTCATTGGTTGGTGGTGGATTAGATGGTATGTTGCAGGCGAGGTGGGTGATGACCTCACTCACCGCACCTGGAGGAGCTGAGCTGGACAGTGACAAATTCCTGTTGTCCTTCCGCCTGCTGCTCGTGCTCTTTAGGCGGGAGCTACCGTTGCTGGACGTCATCGTCATGTGGGAGGTGCGTTCACTTGACACGTCATTGGTTGGTGGTGGATTAGATGGTATGTTGCAGGCGAGGTGGGTGATGACCTCACTCACCGCACCTGGAGGAGCTGAGCTGGACAGTGACAAATTCCTGTTGTCCTTCCGCCTGCTGCTCGTGCTCTTTAGGCGGGAGCTGCCTCTGTTGGACGTCATCGTCATGTGGGAGGTGCGTTCACTTGACACGTCATTGGTTGGTGGTGGATTAGATGGTATGTTGCAGGCGAGGTGGGTGATGACCTCACTCACCGCACCTGGAGGAGCTGAGCTGGACAGTGACAAATTCCTGTTGTCCTTCCGCCTGCTGCTCGTGCTCTTGAGGCGGGAGCTACCGTTGCTGGACGTCATCGTCATGTGGGAGGTGCGTTCACTTGACACGTCATTGGTTGGTGGTGGATTAGATGGTATGTTGCAGGCGAGGTGGGTGATGACCTCACTCACCGCACCTGGAGGAGCTGAGCTGGACAGTGACAAATTCCTGTTGTCCTTCCGCCTGCTGCTCGTGCTCTTTAGGCGGGAGCTGCCTCTGTTGGACGTTATTGTCATGTGGGAGGTGCGTTCACTTGACACGTCATTGGTTGGTGGTGGATTAGATGGTATGTTGCAGGCGAGGTGGGTGATGACCTCACTCACCGCACCTGGAGGAGCTGAGCTGGACAGTGACAAATTCCTGTTGTCCTTCCGCCTGCTGCTCGTGCTCTTTAGGCGGGAGCTGCCTCTGTTGGACGTCATCGTCATGTGGGAGGTGCGTTCACTTGACACGTCATTGGTTGGTGGTGGATTAGATGGTACGTTGCAGGCGAGGTGGGTGATGACCTCACTCACCGCACCTGGAGGAGCTGAGCTGGACAGTGACAAATTCCTGTTGTCCTTCCGCCTGCTGCTCGTGCTCTTTAGGCGGGAGCTGCCTCTGTTGGACGTTATTGTCATGTGGGAGGTGCGTTCACTTGACACGTCATTGGTTGGTGGTGGATTAGATGGTATGTTGCAGGCGAGGTGGGTGATGACCTCACTCACCGCACCTGGAGGAGCTGAGCTGGACAGTGACAAATTCCTGTTGTCCTTCCGCCTGCTGCTCGTGCTCTTTAGGCGGGAGCTGCCTCTGTTGGACGTCATCGTCATGTGGGAGGTGCGTTCACTTGACACGTCATTGGTTGGTGGTGGATTAGATGGTATGTTGCAGGCGAGGTGGGTGATGACCTCACTCACCGCACCTGGAGGAGCTGAGCTGGACAGTGACAAATTCCTGTTGTCCTTCCGCCTGCTGCTCGTGCTCTTTAGGCGGGAGCTGCCTCTGTTGGACGTTATTGTCATGTGGGAGGTGCGTTCACTTGACACGTCATTGGTTGGTGGTGGATTAGATGGTATGTTGCAGGCGAGGTGGGTGATGACCTCACTCACCGCACCTGGAGGAGCTGAGCTGGACAGTGACAAATTCCTGTTGTCCTTCCGCCTGCTGCTCGTGCTCTTTAGGCGGGAGCTGCCTCTGTTGGACGTTATTGTCATGTGGGAGGTGCGTTCACTTGACACGTCATTGGTTGGTGGTGGATTAGATGGTATGTTGCAGGCGAGGTGGGTGATGACCTCACTCACCGCACCTGGAGGAGCTGAGCTGGACAGTGACAAATTCCTGTTGTCCTTCCGCCTGCTGCTCGTGCTCTTTAGGCGGGAGCTGCCTCTGTTGGACGTTATTGTCATGTGGGAGGTGCGTTCACTTGACACGTCATTGGTTGGTGGTGGATTAGATGGTATGTTGCAGGCGAGGTGGGTGATGACCTCACTCACCGCACCTGGAGGAGCTGAGCTGGACAGTGACAAATTCCTGTTGTCCTTCCGCCTGCTGCTCGTGCTCTTTAGGCGGGAGCTGCCTCTGTTGGACGTTATTGTCATGTGGGAGGTGCGTTCACTTGACACGTCATTGGTTGGTGGTGGATTAGATGGTATGTTGCAGGCGAGGTGGGTGATGACCTCACTCACCGCACCTGGAGGAGCTGAGCTGGACAGTGACAAATTCCTGTTGTCCTTCCGCCTGCTGCTCGTGCTCTTTAGGCGGGAGCTGCCTCTGTTGGACGTTATTGTCATGTGGGAGGTGCGTTCACTTGACACGTCATTGGTTGGTGGTGGATTAGATGGTATGTTGCAGGCGAGGTGGGTGATGACCTCACTCACCGCACCTGGAGGAGCTGAGCTGGACAGTGACAAATTCCTGTTGTCCTTCCGCCTGCTGCTCGTGCTCTTTAGGCGGGAGCTGCCTCTGTTGGACGTTATTGTCATGTGGGAGGTGCGTTCACTTGACACGTCATTGGTTGGTGGTGGATTAGATGGTATGTTGCAGGCGAGGTGGGTGATGACCTCACTCACCGCACCTGGAGGAGCTGAGCTGGACAGTGACAAATTCCTGTTGTCCTTCCGCCTGCTGCTCGTGCTCTTTAGGCGGGAGCTGCCTCTGTTGGACGTTATTGTCATGTGGGAGGTGCGTTCACTTGACACGTCATTGGTTGGTGGTGGATTAGATGGTATGTTGCAGGCGAGGTGGGTGATGACCTCACTCACCGCACCTGGAGGAGCTGAGCTGGACAGTGACAAATTCCTGTTGTCCTTCCGCCTGCTGCTCGTGCTCTTTAGGCGGGAGCTGCCTCTGTTGGACGTTATTGTCATGTGGGAGGTGCGTTCACTTGACACGTCATTGGTTGGTGGTGGATTAGATGGTATGTTGCAGGCGAGGTGGGTGATGACCTCACTCACCGCACCTGGAGGAGCTGAGCTGGACAGTGACAAATTCCTGTTGTCCTTCCGCCTGCTGCTCGTGCTCTTTAGGCGGGAGCTGCCTCTGTTGGACGTTATTGTCATGTGGGAGGTGCGTTCACTTGACACGTCATTGGTTGGTGGTGGATTAGATGGTATGTTGCAGGCGAGGTGGGTGATGACCTCACTCACCGCACCTGGAGGAGCTGAGCTGGACAGTGACAAATTCCTGTTGTCCTTCCGCCTGCTGCTCGTGCTCTTTAGGCGGGAGCTGCCTCTGTTGGACGTTATTGTCATGTGGGAGGTGCGTTCACTTGACACGTCATTGGTTGGTGGTGGATTAGATGGTATGTTGCAGGCGAGGTGGGTGATGACCTCACTCACCGCACCTGGAGGAGCTGAGCTGGACAGTGACAAATTCCTGTTGTCCTTCCGCCTGCTGCTCGTGCTCTTTAGGCGGGAGCTGCCTCTGTTGGACGTTATTGTCATGTGGGAGGTGCGTTCACTTGACACGTCATTGGTTGGTGGTGGATTAGATGGTATGTTGCAGGCGAGGTGGGTGATGACCTCACTCACCGCACCTGGAGGAGCTGAGCTGGACAGTGACAAATTCCTGTTGTCCTTCCGCCTGCTGCTCGTGCTCTTTAGGCGGGAGCTGCCTCTGTTGGACGTTATTGTCATGTGGGAGGTGCGTTCACTTGACACGTCATTGGTTGGTGGTGGATTAGATGGTATGTTGCAGGCGAGGTGGGTGATGACCTCACTCACCGCACCTGGAGGAGCTGAGCTGGACAGTGACAAATTCCTGTTGTCCTTCCGCCTGCTGCTCGTGCTCTTTAGGCGGGAGCTGCCTCTGTTGGACGTTATTGTCATGTGGGAGGTGCGTTCACTTGACACGTCATTGGTTGGTGGTGGATTAGATGGTATGTTGCAGGCGAGGTGGGTGATGACCTCACTCACCGCACCTGGAGGAGCTGAGCTGGACAGTGACAAATTCCTGTTGTCCTTCCGCCTGCTGCTCGTGCTCTTTAGGCGGGAGCTGCCTCTGTTGGACGTTATTGTCATGTGGGAGGTGCGTTCACTTGACACGTCATTGGTTGGTGGTGGATTAGATGGTATGTTGCAGGCGAGGTGGGTGATGACCTCACTCACCGCACCTGGAGGAGCTGAGCTGGACAGTGACAAATTCCTGTTGTCCTTCCGCCTGCTGCTCGTGCTCTTTAGGCGGGAGCTGCCTCTGTTGGACGTTATTGTCATGTGGGAGGTGCGTTCACTTGACACGTCATTGGTTGGTGGTGGATTAGATGGTATGTTGCAGGCGAGGTGGGTGATGACCTCACTCACCGCACCTGGAGGAGCTGAGCTGGACAGTGACAAATTCCTGTTGTCCTTCCGCCTGCTGCTCGTGCTCTTTAGGCGGGAGCTGCCTCTGTTGGACGTTATTGTCATGTGGGAGGTGCGTTCACTTGACACGTCATTGGTTGGTGGTGGATTAGATGGTATGTTGCAGGCGAGGTGGGTGATGACCTCACTCACCGCACCTGGAGGAGCTGAGCTGGACAGTGACAAATTCCTGTTGTCCTTCCGCCTGCTGCTCGTGCTCTTTAGGCGGGAGCTGCCTCTGTTGGACGTTATTGTCATGTGGGAGGTGCGTTCACTTGACACGTCATTGGTTGGTGGTGGATTAGATGGTATGTTGCAGGCGAGGTGGGTGATGACCTCACTCACCGCACCTGGAGGAGCTGAGCTGGACAGTGACAAATTCCTGTTGTCCTTCCGCCTGCTGCTCGTGCTCTTTAGGCGGGAGCTGCCTCTGTTGGACGTTATTGTCATGTGGGAGGTGCGTTCACTTGACACGTCATTGGTTGGTGGTGGATTAGATGGTATGTTGCAGGCGAGGTGGGTGATGACCTCACTCACCGCACCTGGAGGAGCTGAGCTGGACAGTGACAAATTCCTGTTGTCCTTCCGCCTGCTGCTCGTGCTCTTTAGGCGGGAGCTGCCTCTGTTGGACGTTATTGTCATGTGGGAGGTGCGTTCACTTGACACGTCATTGGTTGGTGGTGGATTAGATGGTATGTTGCAGGCGAGGTGGGTGATGACCTCACTCACCGCACCTGGAGGAGCTGAGCTGGACAGTGACAAATTCCTGTTGTCCTTCCGCCTGCTGCTCGTGCTCTTTAGGCGGGAGCTGCCTCTGTTGGACGTTATTGTCATGTGGGAGGTGCGTTCACTTGACACGTCATTGGTTGGTGGTGGATTAGATGGTATGTTGCAGGCGAGGTGGGTGATGACCTCACTCACCGCACCTGGAGGAGCTGAGCTGGACAGTGACAAATTCCTGTTGTCCTTCCGCCTGCTGCTCGTGCTCTTTAGGCGGGAGCTGCCTCTGTTGGACGTTATTGTCATGTGGGAGGTGCGTTCACTTGACACGTCATTGGTTGGTGGTGGATTAGATGGTATGTTGCAGGCGAGGTGGGTGATGACCTCACTCACCGCACCTGGAGGAGCTGAGCTGGACAGTGACAAATTCCTGTTGTCCTTCCGCCTGCTGCTCGTGCTCTTTAGGCGGGAGCTGCCTCTGTTGGACGTTATTGTCATGTGGGAGGTGCGTTCACTTGACACGTCATTGGTTGGTGGTGGATTAGATGGTATGTTGCAGGCGAGGTGGGTGATGACCTCACTCACCGCACCTGGAGGAGCTGAGCTGGACAGTGACAAATTCCTGTTGTCCTTCCGCCTGCTGCTCGTGCTCTTTAGGCGGGAGCTGCCTCTGTTGGACGTTATTGTCATGTGGGAGGTGCGTTCACTTGACACGTCATTGGTTGGTGGTGGATTAGATGGTATGTTGCAGGCGAGGTGGGTGATGACCTCACTCACCGCACCTGGAGGAGCTGAGCTGGACAGTGACAAATTCCTGTTGTCCTTCCGCCTGCTGCTCGTGCTCTTTAGGCGGGAGCTGCCTCTGTTGGACGTTATTGTCATGTGGGAGGTGCGTTCACTTGACACGTCATTGGTTGGTGGTGGATTAGATGGTATGTTGTAGGCGAGGTGGGTGATGACCTCACTCACCGCACCTGGAGGAGCTGAGCTGGACAGTGACAAATTCCTGTTGTCCTTCCGCCTGCTGCTCGTGCTCTTTAGGCGGGAGCTGCCTCTGTTGGACGTTATTGTCATGTGGGAGGTGCGTTCACTTGACACGTCATTGGTTGGTGGTGGATTAGATGGTATGTTGCAGGCGAGGTGGGTGATGACCTCACTCACCGCACCTGGAGGAGCTGAGCTGGACAGTGACAAATTCCTGTTGTCCTTCCGCCTGCTGCTCGTGCTCTTTAGGCGGGAGCTGCCTCTGTTGGACGTTATTGTCATGTGGGAGGTGCGTTCACTTGACACGTCATTGGTTGGTGGTGGATTAGATGGTATGTTGCAGGCGAGGTGGGTGATGACCTCACTCACCGCACCTGGAGGAGCTGAGCTGGACAGTGACAAATTCCTGTTGTCCTTCCGCCTGCTGCTCGTGCTCTTTAGGCGGGAGCTGCCTCTGTTGGACGTTATTGTCATGTGGGAGGTGCGTTCACTTGACACGTCATTGGTTGGTGGTGGATTAGATGGTATGTTGCAGGCGAGGTGGGTGATGACCTCACTCACCGCACCTGGAGGAGCTGAGCTGGACAGTGACAAATTCCTGTTGTCCTTCCGCCTGCTGCTCGTGCTCTTTAGGCGGGAGCTGCCTCTGTTGGACGTTATTGTCATGTGGGAGGTGCGTTCACTTGACACGTCATTGGTTGGTGGTGGATTAGATGGTATGTTGCAGGCGAGGTGGGTGATGACCTCACTCACCGCACCTGGAGGAGCTGAGCTGGACAGTGACAAATTCCTGTTGTCCTTCCGCCTGCTGCTCGTGCTCTTTAGGCGGGAGCTACCGTTGCTGGACGTCATCGTCATGTGGGAGGTGCGTTCACTTGACACGTCATTGGTTGGTGGTGGATTAGATGGTATGTTGCAGGCGAGGTGGGTGATGACCTCACTCACCGCACCTGGAGGAGCTGAGCTGGACAGTGACAAATTCCTGTTGTCCTTCCGCCTGCTGCTCGTGCTCTTTAGGCGGGAGCTACCGTTGCTGGACGTCATCGTCATGTGGGAGGTGCGTTCACTTGACACGTCATTGGTTGGTGGTGGATTAGATGGTATGTTGCAGGCGAGGTGGGTGATGACCTCACTCACCGCACCTGGAGGAGCTGAGCTGGACAGTGACAAATTCCTGTTGTCCTTCCGCCTGCTGCTCGTGCTCTTTAGGCGGGAGCTACCGTTGCTGGACGTCATCGTCATGTGGGAGGTGCGTTCACTTGACACGTCATTGGTTGGTGGTGGATTAGATGGTATGTTGCAGGCGAGGTGGGTGATGACCTCACTCACCGCACCTGGAGGAGCTGAGCTGGACAGTGACAAATTCCTGTTGTCCTTCCGCCTGCTGCTCGTGCTCTTTAGGCGGGAGCTACCGTTGCTGGACGTCATCGTCATGTGGGAGGTGCGTTCACTTGACACGTCATTGGTTGGTGGTGGATTAGATGGTATGTTGCAGGCGAGGTGGGTGATGACCTCACTCACCGCACCTGGAGGAGCTGAGCTGGACAGTGACAAATTCCTGTTGTCCTTCCGCCTGCTGCTCGTGCTCTTTAGGCGGGAGCTACCGTTGCTGGACGTCATCGTCATGTGGGAGGTGCGTTCACTTGACACGTCATTGGTTGGTGGTGGATTAGATGGTATGTTGCAGGCGAGGTGGGTGATGACCTCACTCACCGCACCTGGAGGAGCTGAGCTGGACAGTGAAAAATTCCTGTTGTCCTTCCGCCTGCTGCTCGTGCTCTTTAGGCGGGAGCTACCGTTGCTGGACGTCATCGTCATGTGGGAGGTGCGTTCACTTGACACGTCATTGGTTGGTGGTGGATTAGATGGTATGTTGCAGGCGAGGTGGGTGATGACCTCACTCACCGCACCTGGAGGAGCTGAGCTGGACAGTGACAAATTCCTGTTGTCCTTCCGCCTGCTGCTCGTGCTCTTTAGGCGGGAGCTGCCTCTGTTGGACGTTATTGTCATGTGGGAGGTGCGTTCACTTGACACGTCATTGGTTGGTGGTGGATTAGATGGTATGTTGCAGGCGAGGTGGGTGATGACCTCACTCACCGCACCTGGAGGAGCTGAGCTGGACAGTGACAAATTCCTGTTGTCCTTCCGCCTGCTGCTCGTGCTCTTTAGGCGGGAGCTGCCTCTGTTGGACGTTATTGTCATGTGGGAGGTGCGTTCACTTGACACGTCATTGGTTGGTGGTGGATTAGATGGTATGTTGTAGGCGAGGTGGGTGATGACCTCACTCACCGCACCTGGAGGAGCTGAGCTGGACAGTGACAAATTCCTGTTGTCCTTCCGCCTGCTGCTCGTGCTCTTTAGGCGGGAGCTGCCTCTGTTGGACGTTATTGTCATGTGGGAGGTGCGTTCACTTGACACGTCATTGGTTGGTGGTGGATTAGATGGTATGTTGCAGGCGAGGTGGGTGATGACCTCACTCACCGCACCTGGAGGAGCTGAGCTGGACAGTGACAAATTCCTGTTGTCCTTCCGCCTGCTGCTCGTGCTCTTTAGGCGGGAGCTGCCTCTGTTGGACGTTATTGTCATGTGGGAGGTGCGTTCACTTGACACGTCATTGGTTGGTGGTGGATTAGATGGTATGTTGCAGGCGAGGTGGGTGATGACCTCACTCACCGCACCTGGAGGAGCTGAGCTGGACAGTGACAAATTCCTGTTGTCCTTCCGCCTGCTGCTCGTGCTCTTTAGGCGGGAGCTGCCTCTGTTGGACGTTATTGTCATGTGGGAGGTGCGTTCACTTGACACGTCATTGGTTGGTGGTGGATTAGATGGTATGTTGCAGGCGAGGTGGGTGATGACCTCACTCACCGCACCTGGAGGAGCTGAGCTGGACAGTGACAAATTCCTGTTGTCCTTCCGCCTGCTGCTCGTGCTCTTTAGGCGGGAGCTGCCTCTGTTGGACGTTATTGTCATGTGGGAGGTGCGTTCACTTGACACGTCATTGGTTGGTGGTGGATTAGATGGTATGTTGCAGGCGAGGTGGGTGATGACCTCACTCACCGCACCTGGAGGAGCTGAGCTGGACAGTGACAAATTCCTGTTGTCCTTCCGCCTGCTGCTCGTGCTCTTTAGGCGGGAGCTACCGTTGCTGGACGTCATCGTCATGTGGGAGGTGCGTTCACTTGACACGTCATTGGTTGGTGGTGGATTAGATGGTATGTTGCAGGCGAGGTGGGTGATGACCTCACTCACCGCACCTGGAGGAGCTGAGCTGGACAGTGACAAATTCCTGTTGTCCTTCCGCCTGCTGCTCGTGCTCTTTAGGCGGGAGCTGCCTCTGTTGGACGTTATTGTCATGTGGGAGGTGCGTTCACTTGACACGTCATTGGTTGGTGGTGGATTAGATGGTATGTTGCAGGCGAGGTGGGTGATGACCTCACTCACCGCACCTGGAGGAGCTGAGCTGGACAGTGACAAATTCCTGTTGTCCTTCCGCCTGCTGCTCGTGCTCTTTAGGCGGGAGCTGCCTCTGTTGGACGTTATTGTCATGTGGGAGGTGCGTTCACTTGACACGTCATTGGTTGGTGGTGGATTAGATGGTATGTTGCAGGCGAGGTGGGTGATGACCTCACTCACCGCACCTGGAGGAGCTGAGCTGGACAGTGACAAATTCCTGTTGTCCTTCCGCCTGCTGCTCGTGCTCTTTAGGCGGGAGCTGCCTCTGTTGGACGTTATTGTCATGTGGGAGGTGCGTTCACTTGACACGTCATTGGTTGGTGGTGGATTAGATGGTATGTTGCAGGCGAGGTGGGTGATGACCTCACTCACCGCACCTGGAGGAGCTGAGCTGGACAGTGACAAATTCCTGTTGTCCTTCCGCCTGCTGCTCGTGCTGTTCGGTTGTTGAATCTGATTGTCATGTGGGAGGTGCGTTCAGTTCAAACATGCGGGAGGTGCGTGTCAGGGGTGGGCACTAGGCTGTGTGCATTTACACCAGCACCAGTGCAGCTGCACCGTCATCCCCCTTGAGGGTCTCCCAATGCCAAACCCGTTTCTGAGGCGCCTTAAAGCCAAACTTCTTCTTACCTCCTGCCCTCTGCCCCCCTCCCCACTTCAGATGATGTGGGCAGCAGACTACGATCAGCGCATGGCAGCAGTGCTGCTGCACCACCCCCCCGAAGGCCTCTGCCTTGCAGCCGAGTCTGCTTGCTGTTGAGGCACCTCAGATACACACTTCTCCTTACCCCCTGCCCTCGGTCTCCTGCCCCCCGCCCCGTGGCCCCTCCCCCCTGCACCCCCCTTTCCAACCGTTCAGATGATGTGGGCAGCGGACTACGATCCGCGCATGGCAGCAGTGCTGCTGCACCATCCCCCCGAAGGCCTCTCCCTCGCAGCCGAACCCCTCGCGTTCCGCCGCACCCACGCCTCCCGCGCACGCCTCGTCCACGGCCCATGGCAAGCCGCACGCAGCGGGGCCTTGAGGGGTAACGGGGGCGGAAACAAAGGCGGGGTCGCGGTGCCACCCCGCGCTGCTGCTGGGGGGCGGGGGAGACGCAGAGGCGGACGCGGACGGCGGATGGGGGGTGGGAGCAAGCACGAGTATGGGCTGCTGCGCTCCACTCGCCCCCAACCGATCCGCACCCTGCTGCGGCCCCATAAGGTCACCGCTTCCTCCGCCCCCTCTTCCTGCTGCAGCTGCAGCTGTCCCCGCCGCCACCCCTCTCATCTTCTCCTCCTGCTGTCGTTCGTGCCACTGAGCCGCTAGCCCAGCAGCAGTGGCGGCGGCCTGATCCGATGCACCACTCCACCCAGCACCGGCAGCAGTCGCACCTGCTGCCGCCACGCCCCCCGTCACTTCCGCAGCAGAGCCCATCGCCTGGGGGACGCCCGCCTCCTCCGCCCATCCGCCACTCTCCGCTACACAGTCCCGCTCCGCGGAACGTTGCTGATCACCGCCCAGCGACGCGCCTGCCCACCCGCTGCCGCCACCGCCGACAGGCGACGCATCAGCCGCGGAGTGCGGCGAGGGGAGAGCGGCGGCGTGCAGGCCCATCATGATTGTGGCGGGCGGCGCGTGCAGGTGGCGGCCGCTGTACGAGATGGCGAGGTCGCTCGCGGGCGAAATCTTATTGAAGTCCACCACGCGCTTCGCATCGCACTGCTCGTCGCCCACGCGGTGCGCGCAGCGGAAGTAGTGCCTGGGGGGAGGAGGGGATGGGAGAGAAGGGAAAGGGAATAGTTAGGAACAGGCATGGCACACGCCACGATGACTAACCTCCCTGAAAGGAACGTGCAGTTTAAGTAGAAAATATACTTGTTGCTTGCGGCTGGAACAATTTCAGAGCAATCTTGGGCCCTGAACTTGAGCAATCTTGATTGAATCAACGTCACAATCCTCCTCAGTTCCCCTCCAGACGGGGTAGAACTTCGTGCAGTGCAGGGTTTTACCTGGTGTGAGTGCCGCCCGATAGTTCCTTCTGCCCGTACTTGAGCCACACGTGCCCGTCGCGGGGCAGCCGGTGCTCAAACAGGATCAGCTTCGACCGCTTGCACGGCCGCGCCGCGCTCGACGATCCCGCCGTCTTTCCCGCCGCCGCTTTCGGCGACTTCACATCGGACGACTCGTTGATTGCGTCGCCTGCCGCTGTGGGTGGAGTCAACGAAGTAACTATTACTGGAGGTGCCTCTTCTGCCGCCAGAGAGCAAACGGCTCAGTTATCTTCCACCATTTTCTACTCCTGATTGCGCGGCAACCATCATTTTGTGGACAATACTAGAAAGAAACACATTGTGAAGTGAGGCACGCCCAAACCAATTTCCAGCCCGCAATAGCATGTTGCTGGCTGACACGACACTGCACTCCACCCATGGTTGCGACTCGGAGTAGACTCACACACCGTACTGTATCTCGTCAACCTCCGACAGTCTGAGCCCAGACAACGTTGCCGCTTTCTAGTTCACGAAACACGATGCCAGCGCACAATCAACGCGGACTTCATCAATGCCGTACGCGGTACACCCTGACTGCGGATTCAATTCCATAGAGACAAATGAAGCCAAAGGCAACCGTGTGCTGTCATCGACCCGTGTTTCACTCACGCGGAGAGTGTAGAAACGACATAAACATTACTGTTTCTGAGTACATGTTCTAAGCACAGTGCATTTTCAACAGAACATAGAATGCGTGACCAGTGACCTTTTGCATGTGGCGAAGGCACATAAATCATGCATCCAGCCCCAAACAAGAAATATGTGGTTTCGCTGTCGCTGTCTGGTATGGTAAGCTTCACTCGGCATTTTCCCCAGCTTCACCTGCCTCACCTGCTAGGAGTCTTCACCTAGTGGACCAAGGGAGAGGTAGCGGAGCGCGTGCGACCCTGGCTCACTGCGTCCAACCTTGTGGGCCTGTCGAAGCCGAATGGTGACGTTCGCCCGGTGGCTATAGGCGAGGTGCTCCCCCGCATACTATCTCGGGCCCTATGCATCGTGCTTCGGCCGAAGATGATGTCGCACTTTGCGCCGTGTAACCAGCTAGGAGTCGGATCCAGGTCGGGAGTGGAAGTCCTCGCACATGCCTTTCGTTCTGCCATCTCTACTCACCCGTCATGGTGCGCGCTTCAAATTGATGTGGCGAATGCTTTCAACTCCTTCCATCGGCGGGAAATGTTTGAAGGACTTCGACAGTCGCCTTTTGCGGGTTTGATCCCATTCCTGCGTGTCTTCTACGGCACTCCTAGCGACCTCTACCTCCGTGCGGGCCCCTTCGTCGAAGCTTTGGCTTCAGAGCGAGGATCGAGGCAAGGGGACCCATTGGGGCCGTTTCTGTTCGCGTTCACACAGCAGCTGGTTATGGAGCCCACCAAACAAGAATTCGCCGACCTACTCTTTCTCAGCTACGCCGATGATACGTACATCTTGGGGCCTAGGGAGCGGGTGCTAGCAGCTTATGAGGTCTTGCGGGAACGACTGGGCGGGCTTGGTCTGGAGGTGCAGCCGCATAAGTGCAAGCTTTGGGAGCGAGGGGTGGACCAGGAGGGAGAGGAGAGGAACGAGACCGTCCCGCCCGGCATGCAGCAAACATGGACGGGGCTCACCGTAGTGGGGGTTCCTATTGGGGAGGAGGAGTGGGAGGTGGCCAGCTTGCGAGGCCGGCTGATGCAGCTGCATGCACCTGTCCCTTGGCTTCCTTTGCTCGACCACCCACAGATTGCGTCCCATCTGCTGGCGATCGCAGTGTCAGCGCGCCCGATTTACCTCACAAGGACGATGCCTCCACGGCCTGAGGTTGTGGAGGCTTTCCGCGACTGGGACACGAAGCTTGAGGATTGTTTTGAGCAGCTGTTTCCAGATAGCACCTGGGATCATGATTCGGCAAGGTCGCAGATGGCCCGTCTACAGCTGCACCTTCCAGCCAGACTTGGAGGGTTTGGCATTCGATCTGCAGCTGACCTTAGCCCTCTGTCGTACAAATGTGGTTGGTGCCAGGCAGTGAGTGATGTGGCTCGGATGGGGGTGGCAGGGGAGGAACGGATGTTTGAGGAGTTTTTCCGCACGCCCGAGGCTACGACCTTGCTGGATCCTTGGTTTGCGAGAGCAGTGGAGCTGCTGCCACAGTCGGTCAGGCAGGAGATGCCACCCCTAGCCTTATGCACCGCTGACCCCCCTGTGCTGCTTTTCCCCACACAACACCGTCGTCTAGCGGTTGAGAGTCTGCAGACTCTTCGGGGTATGGCCCACGACGACGCCACCATGGCCCGTTTGACATCCCTTCAGGGCCCGGGGGCAGGGGCGTGGGTCTCCGCCGTCCCTTCGCACGAAGAGGCTACCTTCACCGCAGCCGAGTGGAGCATCTGTGCGTCCATGCGCCTAGGCCTCCCCATACAGCAGCTGATAGTCGCCGGCAAGTGCGCGTGTGGGTTTGAGTTTGCTGATCCCTCTGACCCGCATCATGCCCTTCGTTGCAAGTACCAGTACGCACCTTCTCGTGTTCACGATGCGGTTAAGTTTGTGGTGGCGAAGATAGCTAAAGGGGCGGGTGGGGTCGTGACCATGGAAGACGACACGTTGCTGCCAGGGAAGAGGGTGGATGTGGCGGTGCGGAGACTGAGGGAGGGGGAGGAGCATGCGCTGGAGGTTAGTGTGGTGGACCCTATCTCGTTGTCCGCGCAGCACCATGGACAGATTGGTCGCAAGGTGGGTTTTGCCGCTAGAGAGAGGGAAAAGCGGAAGGCGGCGGACTACAAATTGCTTCTGCAGCGACATAGGGGAGTGCAGTTTACACCTCTCATTGCTGAGACATGGGGTTGCCTGGGGGGGAGTTTTGGGCGGTGGCTTAAGAAACAGGGCGACGCGCAGATTGAGGTAGCGAAGACGAAAGGGGCGGCGAGAGCTACGGGGAAAGGTTTCTCGGCTTACTTGCTTGGATCACTTAAAGCGGCCATAGGTGTGGCTTTGCAGCGGGCTCAGGCGCGTGGGATCTTGTTGCGCGCGGCGTCGATGATGAGAGGCCCAGAGGCTGTTTCGGTGGAGCGGGAGGATTTTGAGGAGGAGATGGGATGGGATGCTCCGTGGGCGGATGCGCCCTATTTGGTGGACATGCGGGTTTAGAGGGTGGGTTTAGGTGAGGGGGGTGGGGGGTTTGGTTAGATGGGGCGTATTGTTGGGGTGTCTCGTTGGGGTGTCTCGTTGGGGTGTCTCGTTGGGGGTATCTCGTTGGGGTGTCTTTTGGGGTTCCTTATGTGCTGTTCTACTGGGGTGTTCTTGAGGCTGCGTTTTCCAAAAAAAAAAAAAAAAAAAAAAAAAAAAAATCTCTAACAAAAATGAAGGAAGAACGCAGCGAGAAACTAGTAATAACGACGACTTCTTTACGTTAATTCACAGTTGAGCTGTCGCTAATTATATTCAAAG